TGTGCCCATTTGCCCACGACTCCTTGTCACTATGTCTCTGTGTCCCCGTGTTCCTATGTCCCCATGTCCCCATTTCCTTGTCCCTGTTCCCATGTTCCCGTCTCCATATCCCCATATTCCCAAGTCCCTGTATTCCCATATCCCCATGTCCCCCCCATTCCCACAGTCCTGTGTCCCCACCTCCTCCACCTCCCCCACCTTCTCCATGCCCACACCCCCGTGGACTCACCACATTTCCATTCCCCTGCAGCCGATCACCATGAAGTCCGCTCCCCACTGTCTTGTCTTCTCACTCCTCCTCCTCTTCCATCATCTCCCCACCATTTGCCCCCAGTGCCACCGTGCCGTTGGTAAATCCTGCCGTGTCCCCCCGGCTCCTGGCACCAACATTCTGGGTTCAGGTTTGGATGTCACCACCATGTCCCTCACTGAGGGCCAAGTGTTGGCCATCACCAAACCCACTGGCAGGCACTGTGTGGTCTGCGTGGACCATCTCCACAAAGGACAGTCCCTCCTCCTCTACAATGGCGTCAGCAAGTGGCGAGCAGGGAGTAAGTGCCAGCAGAGGTCCTCACTGGCTGCTGGCAGCCAATCCATGAGGATGCTGGTGGCCCAGACAGAGAAGATGGCGCAGAATTGGAGAGTGGGGCTGGAAGCAGCCCTCAGCCCGGGGAGGGGGGTCACCCTGGCCATGGCCGGGTCCCACTCACGCGTGGCAGAGTTCGGGATGCAGAAGGACCGGGAGGACCGCTACTCATTCGCCAGCACCGAGCTGCGCTGCGTGCACTACTGGTAGGGCTCCAGCTCCCTCATCCTTTCTCCCTGCTTCTCCATCCCCTCTCCTCTTCCATCTCCCCAGCTCTTTCCATTTCTCCTCCAGTTCTCCTCCATCTCCTCCTTCTCTTCCCTCTCCACCGTGTCCTCCTCGTGCTCCTTGTCTTCCATCTTTCCTCCATCTCAACTTTGTCCTTCTTGTCCTCCATCTCCATCTCTTTTCTCTCTCCTTTCCCCCATCTCCTCATCTTCCGTGTCGTGAGGCCGCACCTCGAGTACTGTGTCCAGTTTTGGGCCCCTCACTGCAAGAAAGATATTGAGGCCCTGGAACGTGTTCAAAGAAGGGCAACAAAGCTGGTGAGGGGTCTGGAACACAGGCCATATGAGGAGAGGCTGAAGGAGCTGGGAATGTTCAGCCTGGAGAAGAGGAGGCTCAGGGGAGACCTTATTGCTCTCTATAACTTCCTGAAGGGAGGTTGTAGTGAGCTGGGGGTCGGCCTCTTCTCTCGTGTCATTAGTGATAGGACCAGGGGGAATGGTTTCAAGCTACGGCAGGGGAGATTCAGGCTGGACATGAGGAAGTATTACTTTTCAGAAAGGGTGGTCAGGCACTGGAATGGACTGCCCAGGGAGGTGGTGGAGTCACCGACCCTGGGGGTGTTCAAGGAAAGGCTGGATGTTGTGTTGAGGGACATGGTTTAGTAGGAGCTATTGGGAATAGGTGAACGGTTGGACTGGGTGATCTTTTAGGTCTTTTCCAACCTTAGTGATTCTATGATTCTATGATTCCTTCTTCTCCATCTCCTCCACCATTGTTCCCTCTCCTCCATCTCCCCCTTGTCCTTCTTGTTCTCCATCTTTCCTCCATCTCCCCCATCTCCATTTCCCTCTCTTCCCTCTCCTCCATGTTCTCCATCTCTCTTCCTTTTCCTCTCCTATATCTCTTCCGTCCCTCCACCTCCACCCTACAGATTCCTACAACCCCCCTCCAGCACCCCCACAACACCCCAAATTCCCCTAAAATTCCCCAGAGATTCCACACAATCACCCCATAGACCCCCTCCAGCACCCAAGGGCCCCCCACTGACTCCTCCAATCACCCCATAGCCTCTTGTAATCATCACATAAACAGCCCATACTCCCCACTGGTACTTCATAGACACCCCACAGACACCCCCAAATCATCCTGTAGCCTCGCCATAGACTCTCAAACCACGCCAGGGACACCCCAGGGACACTCCACAGAACCCCATAGAACTCACCCACAGATCCCTTCAATTACCCCGTCTACAGAGCGTCTTGTGCTCCATCACCGCCTTCCACTTTTGCCACACCGCTATGATGGGCACGGACACCCAAGAAGCAGTTGATTGTTTTGGTGCAGAAATGACCTCCATAGACACCCCATAGACCCCAATCACCCCACACATGGCTCAATCACCCCATAGGCCCCCCACAGACCCCCCTCCAGCACCCAGTCACCCCATAGACCACAAAGAATCCCGGCATAGACCCCTCCAGTCACCCCCACAGCTTTCCTCCAACACTCCATAGACCCCTCAATCACCCCGTAGGCACCTCAATTGCCCCTCCCCATATTCTCAATCCTCCCTCAATCACACCTCCCCATAGATCCCCATTAACCACAAAGGCTCCATAGAGCCCCAATGACTTTTTCTCTCTCTCTCCCCCTTCAGGATCTCAGCTTCACCTAAACCCAGACCGTCCCCCCACTTTCTCCATGCTGTTCGATCCCTCCCACCCCACTTCACCCCCGCCACTGCCCCAGATTATGCCGACCTCTTGGCCGCCTATGGCACCCACTACATCCAATCGGCCCAACTGGGCGGCCTCCTGCGCTCCATCACCGCCATCCGCTTGTGCCGCGCCGCCATGATGGGCGCCGGCGCCCAAGAAGTGGCTGATTGTTTGGGTGCAGAAATGACAGCCAACGTGAAGTCAACCACGTTCAGCGCCATGTCCAGTGCGTGCCGCAAAGACAAATCAAAAAACAGCGCCCACAGCGACTTCAATCAACTCTTTAATGAACGGATGGTGGAGGTGGAAGGTGGCGAGCAACATGGCGACCTCCTCTACGGTGCATCACAGAACTATGCCGAGTGGTTGAGATCCCTGCAACGCCTGCCTGGGTTGGTTGCCTCTAACGTCAGGCCTCTGCACACCTTGCTGCCCCGCCAGGACCCACGCCGGAGAGCACTGAAGGCAGCCATCGGTCACTACATCACATGGAGAGCATTGAGGGCGAACTGCAGCCAACAGTGCACTGCTCACAGCATGGTTGGGTTGTGTCAGTGCGGGTGTGCAGCCAACAGCGTGGTCAATGCCGACTGCTGTTCCAAACACCGTGGGATGGCACAGGTGACAGTGACAGTGCGGGAGGGCAGTGGGTGGCACGGTGACGTTTTCACCGCAACCGATGCGTATGTGCGGCTGTACTTCAATGGTCAGCGGCTACGGACAGCAACGGTGTGGAACAACAATCGGCCCAAGTGGGGTGCACAGTTCGATTTGGGGTGGGTGACACTGCACCCGCATCAAAAGATGAAGCTGGAGGTGTGGGATCAGGATTATGGGTGGAATGACCACCGCTTAGGGGTGTGCGAAGTACTGGTGCAGGCTACAGGCAAACAGCAGCGCAACGTTGTGTGTTTCCCAGGAGGCGGTGACCTGAGATTCAGCTACAGTGCCACGTGTGGGCCAAGCCTGGGGGGTTCTCAATGTTCAGAGTACATTCCACAGCCCCCCAAAAGACAAGGGGGGCTCTACAGGTTGTCACAGTGGCCACCAAAGACTGGAGGTGGTGGCCCTGTGGCATGGCCACAGCACAAGGAGGGAGAGGAGGCGGAGAACGAGGAGGAGGAGGAGGAAGTGGAAGAGAACGAGGAAGAGAAAGAGAATTTTTGGGAGGTACCAGGGGTTTCTGAGGACAATGAGATGATGGTTGAGAACAAGGACCACCAAAATCCATCACCAGATCTCCAAAATCCATCATTCAACCCTCAAAATCTATCAGTGGGTCTCAAGAAGGATCCAGATCCACAGATTGCATTTCCACGCTATGGGGCAGCTCCTCCAATCCTATGACATCCATCTTTCATCTTGATGGAGGCTTTTAGTCCTCCAGCCCCAGCTCCTGCCCTGCAAGTTCTGGTGTCCCCCCACCCCTGGTACAGTGTAATCTGTGGGATGTATACATTTCCCTCTGCCCTCAGCTCCAAGCTATGGGCAGGATTAAATGCTTTTTGCTGCACTATCCCCTCTGACTTTGCTTTCTTGGGGGTACGCTATGGGTCTCTATGGAGCACTATAGGGCTCTATGGAGCCATGGGACTCTACAGGGCTATGTAGGCTATGGCTCTCTTTACTGTGACCTCACCCTCCATGGGACTCGTCGACATTCCTCCCCATCCCCAGTTATGGTGGTGGCCGGGTCACCGCCCCTCCTCCTATTGGCTGTGGAGAGGAGGGTGGGATCATGGGACTGTGGGAGGTGTGGGGCTGCTGTGGGGCCAAGGAATGCTACGGGGCTGCTATGGGGTGTTGTGGGGAAGCAGTCTGAATGTGCTATGGGGCTGAGAAAGGTGTGGAACACTATAGGGTCTATGGGGAGACTTGGGGCAAGGGACCATGGGGAGATGTGAGCGGAGCCACAGTGATGTGCCATGTACCTCCCCTGCCCCACAAGCTCCCCCCTAAGGGGTGGGGCTATCGTGACAAGGGGCGGGGACACAAGTGGGTGGGCAGAGCCTGACGGGGCTGGGCAGAGAGGATGTGGGGCACTGGGAACCATAGAGCCCCACAGAGCACAGGGAGCGCCACAGAGCCCCACAGGGACCCATAGAGTCTGATCACATAATCACAGAATTGTAGGGGTTGGAGCAGACCTCCGGAGACCACGTTAGGCCACCCCAATAAAGCTGTTCCATACAGCCAGTTGCCCAGCTCCGGGCAATGCACCCTGGGGTCCCATTGTCATTCTCGGCCACCAAGGCACACTGCTGGCTCATGATCACCCTGCTGGACACGAGGACACCCAGGTCCTTCTCTGTAGAGATCCTCTCCAGCAGGTCATCCCCCAACCTATACTGATGTGTGCGGTTCTTCATGCCAATTCTGCAGGCATTTCTGTTTGTGCAACAGCACAAAGCCAGGTCAAATAAGCAATGCAAACATAATGGGTTCCAGAGATAACAGGGATGCTAAGGCACAGTCTAAGGCCTTTTATTTCCTTGGCGGGATCCCCGAGGTCTTCTAAGGTGTTTCTTGCCCCTAGGAGAGGCCCGGGGAGACACAGAGACATCCTCTTTACTCAAATGCATCTCTGCAGGAACCTGCATTAGCTCAGGTACTGCTGCCTCCTGTAACAGAGGCTCTGGGAACAGATACACACAGGTATTAGCAATGGGGGCACAGGGATGTGGGAAGACAGGGCTTAGGACCTGACACCAGGGGAACAGGTGACACAAGAGGCCCTGGGAATAAGGAGGAGATATGAGCAAGCAGAGGTCAGACACTAAAGCTGGGGGGACATGCAAACAGGGCACATAGGGTGACAGAAGCTACAGCTTGACTCCAGTGGCAAGGAAGTGCCTGGGGATGCGTTAAGAACCTGGCACAGGGGACAGCAGAGACTCAGAACATAAGGGACACGTGTCACCAGAAACACAGCAAGACATGGAGAAGAGAGGGCTCAAGACAAAGCTGCTGATGGACAAAAAAGGCCACAGAAGAACCATGGGAATGAATCAATGTATGTGCTGCTCTTGGAAGTTCCCAAAGCCACCCCTGATCTTGGGCTGCCTTCCAGACTTCTCCCAGAACCTCACAACCCTAAGGACTCCCCTTGATCATTCTGCATGCTGTCGTGCTTCACAAGGCCCTCATCATAATCATAACCACAAGATGCCCCTTTAATCCCACTAGACCACTGGGACCACTGCGTGCCCCCAGGAACCCATGGGCCTCCCATTACCCTCTCCATGACCTTCCAGCCCCCTGAGACCCTAAGGTATATCCCAGATATGAGGGAGCTCCTCCACTTACCCTACGGTCCCTTTCATTACCCTGTAGTCCCCTAGACTTAAAATCCCAGCACTTCCCTTGTAACCCCTCAGCCCCACCTGTGCTGGGATTCCCAGTGGTCTCTCCTTGCTCCTCGGGGAGGGTGGTAGGCATCTGTCCCTCTGGGCCATGCTCGGGGCTATCCACATAAACCAGGGTCAAGTCAAGGCAAGCCTGGGCTCAGGGACAGAAGACGGGCAGAATCAGGGCAGGCCTGACCTCCATTGCACATTTACTTTCAACAGTGCTGAGCTCACCTGGGGCGTAAGGACGTAGGCATAAAGCTTGGCGTGCCGAAGGACAGTTCCAAAGAGGTGGGCTGCGATGCGGGCAACCTGGGTCAGCCCAAATACAGCCACACTGACCGGAGGATGCTACAGCAATGGCACCATGGCAGCAGCAGGCAAAAGAAAGTCAGTGGGCAAGAGAAAGTCAGTGGCTGGGAAGCATGCAGGGCACATGGGAAAGGAGGGGAGGGTGTTGGGAGTCTGAGGGTGTAGAGCACAAGGAACATGCAGGTTCTGGTGAGGCTGCAGGAAGTGTGCAAGAGTGTGCTGGCTCAATCAAATACAAGGCAAAAGAGTACAGAACATGAAAGTGCCAACTTCATGTTGCCAGGAGTGCTGGGGACATAAGTAAGCATATGGAAAGCATGCAAGGAGCACAGGAGGCCCTACAAGTGCGTAGAGACGATGTGAGGACCATGCAGGCTTCAGTAAGCATAGATGGAGTGTGTCAATGCCAATAACTTCATGAGACATATTTAGGTTGCTGTGAGGATGCTGGGAAATATGGGGAGTGTGCAGGAAGCACACTGGTACTACGGAGTGTGCAGGGGTTGTGCAAGGAGCACCTGGGGGCCAATAAGCGTGTGAGGGGTGAAGACTCACATGCACAGCATGGCACAGCAGCAGCTTGCTGAAGTAGGCATAGCATTCCTCCACATCAGGCAGGGGTGTCTCTGGGACAGTCAGTGGTGAATGAGACCTTCGCAGTTCCCTGCCCCCCGCCACCCCCCGGCCCTGCACTCACGGGTGCACATGGTGATGGCACAACGCACAATGCGCAGCAGGGCTGAGAGTGGCCCTGGGGCCAGCTCTAACTCCTGGCCCAGTTCCACAGCCGCCTCATAGGCATCCAGAAGGACAGGGGGACCCGGCAGGACCTCTGCCAGTACACTGGAAGAACAGGCATACCACTGGAGGGCCAGACAGGGACACCAGGGGGGACATGGACATGAAAGGGACAACTTGGGACAACACAGCAGGGAAACCAAAAGGGACTGGAACATCCTTCAGAGGTGCAATGCGGGCATTTTTAGGGAGAGGAAAAAGGATACATTGGGACACTCTAAGAGGTAGGATACAGTTGTAACACCCTGTGGGGAAGACAAGGACACCTAGAGGGCTGTGAAGGAGAACAGCAACACCCGTGAGAGATATGGGAGCATCTTAGGCGGGAACAAATGCACTTAGGACTGGGTTCTAAGGTGTCCTGAGTGGGACACTGGGACTGACAGAGAACCAGAATACCACATGGATGAGAGGAAGACTATAGGAATGTGAAGGTGAATGGCATTAACCCAGTGACATCCCTGGGCATTCTGAGGTGGGGTACCAGGGTTGTCTTAGTGGACTAAAGCATGGTGTCTTTTTAGGGATTCCCAGAGGCATTCTTCAGGTGTCCCATGCATACTTTGAGCATGTTCTGGGGTTGTCCCACAAGTGTCCCACAATGTCCCAGTATGTTCCCAGCATGTCCCAGGTGTTCCAGAATGCTTCTACAGTGTCTCCAGCGTGCCCTGTTCTTGTTCTGGTGGCTGAGCCCATAGGCTTTTTCTCCTGAATGTCTCAAGTGACCCAGGTAGCCCAGGGTGTTCTAGAGTGTGCTAGGTGTCCAAGACCCCTACAGACAACCCTGTTCCCTCACTTACACACGTCGATCCTGCTGGGTTGGGGCTGCCTGAAGTCGTTCCATGACCACCACATCCAGGTCTGTCCTGCACAGACAGAGATAAACCAGGGAATGGCAGGCAGGAGAGGACAAGGGACATGGGGACAGATAGAGACAGTAGAATCTGAGGAAGAAGGAAAATAGCTGGGGATGTGGGTGCCCAGATATGCAGTTGGGAACCCACTGACATGAACAGTCCTGAAAGGAAGAATAAGGGACAGAAAGGAGGAAGGGGCAACTGTGGACAGCTGAGAATAGGAGACCTGAGCATGGCTGGGGACAAGAGGGTAAAGCAGATCCAGGGTGGATATTTCAGAACACGGCAATACTCACCAGGGACGGATGCCAGTTTCACAGCTGTCAGGCTGGGACAAAAAGAACAGGGCTGTGAGCACAGGCACTATCAAAGCCACCGCCCAAGCCCAAGTCCAGGAACGAGGGAGCCCCAGCATGGCCGGCACCATCCGCGGCAGGGATGGGCACATGACATCCACAATCCAACCGGCAGAGCCATCGCCGTCTCAGCCCAGGGGAAAGGTGCAGCCCCACCCCGCCGAGCAGAGCCACTTCCATGCCCACACTTAGGCACAGCGACGGGGCGCCTTCGAGCTGCCAGCGCGGCCACAGCCGACCTCAGCACCGGGGCCTCTCCAGCCTCAGCACATCCGCCTCAGAGCTCGACCCTGAGGACACGGGAAGGTCCCAAACCGCTGGCGGGACCTTATCGTCCATCACCGCAAGCCCTTCACTACAGCCCGCGGGCCGCACTACGGCTGCCACGGTGACACAACACCGGACAGGTGCTGCAGTGCGCGGCCGGCGCTGCCCGCCCACCGCAGTCGGCTGCACGGTCACGGCAGCCCCGAGCCGCTCCGCGGGCTCCCACCTCTCTGCTCCCTGCCGTTGCCATGGCTGCCGCCGCGCCACCGCGCCGTAGGTAGCAGCCACTCGGCAGGAGGTTTGCTGCAAGGTGCGGAAAGCAATGGCCAATCAGAGAAGCTCTCACTGCTGTCCAACAGCGAGTGGAGAAAGGACGCCAGCCAATCCCCATCGCCGTCCTTCAGAGATGGCAGGGATTCTAACCAATCACAGAGTGACTTCTTAGCAGCACCCTGCTTTCGGTCCCTCACTGCACTTCCCGGAGCAGCAGCCAGACGGGGCCGGCAGTCACCCTTCCTTCCCCTTGACTTGGAGATGCTAAACAGAGGAACTGAGGGCGCCTTCACCTACCATCATTGGTTATGAGGAAAAACGAACAGCACAAATATGAGGAGGCCGTTTAACAGAACCAGTAGGTGCATCCACGATATATGCTCATCTAAGAATTCTCTCTTTGAAAGGTGATGGAATATCGCTGGTATCCATAATAGAAAGAGACAAATGTAAGATTGTGCAAGGCCAACAAATGTGCTTTCGTTTGGTTACTTGGTCAGAGAGCTACCTGGAGGTCCTGATGGATGAAAAACTTAACATGAGCCAGCAGTGGCATTGCAGCTCACAAAGCAAATGGGATCCTGGGCTCCATCAGAAGAGGGGTGGCCAGCAGGGACAGGGAGGTGATCGTCCCCCTCTGCTCTGCTCTTGTGAGGCCCCATCTGCAGCACTGCGACCAGATTTGGAGCCCCCAGTACAAGAAAGACAGGGAGCTGTTGGAGAGGGTCCAGAGGAGCCACAGAGATGAGCAGGGGGCTGCAGCACCTCCCCTATGAAGACAGGCTGAGGGAGCTGGGCTTGTTCAGCATGGAGAAGAGAAGCTGCGGGGTGACCTCATTGCAGCCTTTCAGTACCTAAAGGGAGCCTGCAAACAGGAGGGGAATCAACTCTTTGAAAGGGTAGATAACAGCAGGACAAGGGGAAATGGTGTTAAGTTCAGGGAGGGAAGATTTAGGTTGATGTCACGGGGAGGTTCTTGACAGAGAGAGTGGTGAGGTGCTGGAACAGCTGCCCAGAGAGGCTGTGATGCCCCGTCCATCCCTGGAGGTGTTCAAGGCCAGGTTGGATGGGGCCCTGGGCAGCCTGGGCTGCTGTGGAATGTGGAGGTTGGTGGCCCTGCGTGTGGCAGGGGGTTGGAGCTTCGTGATCCTTGAGGTCCCTTCCAACCCTGGCCATTCTGTGATTCTGTGAAGCGTAACATGGATGTACCCACATCCCACACACACCAGTTCTGATGGTATGGAGCTCGTGTGGCATCACAGAAAGATGCTTTCTCTTTATTTCCTCAAAGCTTGTCAGATTTTGTCACTTTTAATCTTATTAGAAGTGGAGTACAAGGCAGAAAGAAAATGGCATTCAAACATGGCCATACAGTAGTAAGTGGTACTTGAAACAAGTCAGCCATTCTTCTGGTGAGTCTCTCTTCCACCACTCCTAACCTTATCCTTTCTTCTACCTCTCTTTTCTCCACCTTCTCGTCCATTTTTGCAAATGATGTTCTTTTTGTGTCCTTTGTGACCTGCTGTGCTTGCAGATGGAAACGTCTGACCTGTACTCTTCTCTGAAAATAAATAAATAAAGTGAGCTTCGGTTTGTTGTTTTCTTTTTAATTAACCATAAACTGGGTATAAGATTTGAGAATATTCCTATTTTGGTACAAGTGCATTGTTAACAGACAGCTGTCAATCCACTATTTGTACCTACTTACGTACCTATAAACTTCCCAGCAAACTGACCACATGCAACTGATACTTGCTGCTTCTTGTAAGCATCTTAGAAACTGCTAGACCTGCTGCTAATGCTGTTAATTACTTCAGGACATTTGTTAAACATTGAGTTTTCCTCACAAGGTGCAAAAGAAATGCTAACTGTATTATCCCATAGTTAAGAGCACAGGAAGCAGAAAAAGGAAGCAGAAGTCCAAGAGCAGAAAGCTCTTGGAGCAACAGACTGAATGGTTCAAACTGATGTAAGTTAGGGAATTTCACATCTTTTTATTTTGGAGAGAAGAAACAAAACAAAGAGACAAAGAAAACAAAAATAAAAATAAATAAACCTTTTAACCTTGAAATTAACCAGAAAGGAACACAGTGTTTGAAAAGTGTTTTTGTTAGCAGTCCTCTCACATAAGCAAGCTTGTATGTTTTAATTATCACCGTTACTTAACACAGATCTGGGACAAACACATTTAAAAATATAGCTGTAATTTTCCCATCAAAATGAGCATTAATTGACATTCTCTCAATTTCATACTGAGAGTGGTCACAGCCATTAGTAAGGCCATCACCTCCTCTTTGGCACCACTAGAACAGTGCATAAAGGCACCTCAGGATACACAGGATGGACTACATCGTCAGTGCTTAAAGGGGATGATTCTCTTCTACATAAACCTACAAATTATCATGAGAAAGGTGCCAAACAGCTGTGTGCAGTGAGGTCTGTTTGGTTGGGCATTTGAGTGAAGGCCTTTACCAGAAACGTGGCAGATGGAAAACGCTTTATACAGCTCCAATGTTTAAAAATTGTTATTATATACGTAGTAAAATTTAATTTATTTGGTTTTGTTTTTTAAGAATGAATTGTAACTACTCTGTGAGGTAGGAGAGGCTTGTTTTGCTTTGTTTGATTGCAGTTACAATGTTTCGGACAATTACAAGAACTGCTCCAAACAAAACATCATTGGGCAAGTTGGAAAACGTTGAAATAATTTTCTGGATCTTACGCTCCTTTTCTTGGTGGGAAAAGTAACAAATTCACTGGAGAGTTCTTGCTCCTCTACTCCTTGAAAATGCAGTTTGCTGTTGGATGGATTAGTACAGGTCTGTACAGGATTCACCTACCACACTGGGGTGGTGTGCTTTGCAACTGTTTTTCTGTATCTCCTTCAGAACATTTTATAACAGTAATTCGTTCTTCAGACATAAACGGCTCTGGTGTGTGGCATCAGAGTCACCATTTCAAGTGTTCCCAAGGTGATAAAAGACTGAAAGTAACAAACTATGAACAACAAACATTTCACACTCTACTGCTACCCTAAATCAAACCGTTCCCTGTTCTATCTATATGCTTTCTCGTCTTCCTACTCCCATCACATCTCATTTCTTTCTCATCATAAAGCACAGTATGACTGAGATCAGAAGAGGCCACTTGAGCTGGCTGCCCAGGGCTCCATCCAAGCCAGGGTCTGATGCCCTCTCAGAATGGAGACAACCTCTCCAGACAACCTGTATCACCACTTGTCCACCCTGACAGTAAAAACGTGTTTTCTTGTGTTCACATGTCATTTCATGTGTCTTGTGTTTCCATCACCTCTGGTCTTGTCACAGTGAAGAATTTTTCATATTCATTAAGTCCTATCAGGTATTTCTACATATTGATGAGATTCCACTACATCTTCTTCATATTGAGGATGGTGAATATCACATCTCTGCCTCTCATCACAGCACAGACACTCCAAGCCATTAATCACCCCAGTGGTCCTTTGCTGGACTTAGTGCACTGAGTCCATCTTCTTTGCACAGAGGAGCTCAAAACACAGGTACCTTCACCCCAACAGGATTTCAGCCATGCTGAGCAGGGGTTCTCCTCTCTCAATGTGCTGGTGATGCATTTCCCAACACAGCCCAGTATGTTCTTGGTTTTCTTTGCTGCTTGTCCCCAGAATGGCCCTAAGGTCCTTTTCTGAAGAGCTGCTCTCCGTCTGTTCACCCCCCTGCACTTATTGGCTCATGGAGTTGTTCCCCCCAGACGCAGGACTTTCCTTCATTGAATTTCATGAAGTCCCTCTCTTCCTGTTCCACTAGCCTGTCCAGCTCCTCCTGACTAGGAATGCACCCATTTACATTGGCAGTCACTCTTCCCAATCACACGCAGTTGCTGAAGGCACACACTGTCACTGCTGCCATTAACAAAGATGTTCAATACTGTTGGCCCCAAGTCTGTGCCAGTGGTACAGTGCTCCATCCAGACTGTTTGATGCTGGTCACTACACTCTAGGCCCAGTCATTTTGTCAGTTTTCAGTCCACCTTGCTGTCTGCTTTTCTAACCCAAACTTCAATAGTTTGTCTGTGAGAAGACTGCTACAGAAGCCAGTGTCAAGAGCCTTAATAAAGGTGATGTAAACAACCTCCTCTGTTTTCCTCTCATCCACCCAAGCTCACTGTAAGAACCTATCAGTCTGGTTAGGTGTGATTTCCTACATTAAATCCTTGCTGACTGGAAATCCACACATCTGGAGGTTTTCCAGCATTAATTGGCTCCACAAGCTTCACAGGGATTGAGGAGGGTGACTACCTGTTCTCTCCTCCCTGAAGCCACATCAGGTCCCCTCCAACCAACCACCCTGTGATTCTGTGCCAATCTTCTACTGCTTCTGTTGTGGGTTTGCATAGTCTTAAAGCTGGTGGTTTTCCAAAACATTCAAGTGAATGTTCTTACTTAAATTTCTACATAAAATGCATCTGAACAGTTCATTCAAAGGAAGGCATGCCCAGGTTATTATTACATATACACAAACCACCATGCTGACACAGCAATGGTGATTGAACCTACCCAGCAATCCTGAGCACTCACGACTGTGTCGTTCATTCCAGGATTTCCTTCTGCAAGCCTCACTGCAAGTAAAGACCTCATAACAGCGTTTGCAGGGTGACAGCTGGACACCAACAGAACGTCCGCACTGATAGCAGTACTTAAAGATGGGCAGCCTGGAACAAAGGTACTTGTCAAACAGAAGTACATTATTGTTCTTTCTAGCCTTAGTCCTGACAACTATTCTGCAGTTGAAATATAAAACAAAGAGTACTTGGGCTGAGGCTGCTGGTGGGACTAGGAAGCAGACTGTTAGATCTAATTGCAAGCTGGGCTCTGCTCTTAGAGGTTCTTTAAAAATTTAGGAACTCTTTACAGCACACAACTCCTTAGCATGACCTGTCCAAGCCAAACAGTTCTGTGCTTGTGAAATCTGACAGGACTAGATGTAAGATAAAGCCAAAGGCTGTTCATGCAAAACCTTTCATTCCTGTGATAGAATTTTCTTAAAAGCTAAGATACATCTGAATACATCATAGCTTTCACAGGCAATACTGAATATATTTTATATGCTACAGCTTTCCAGCTATGTGATACAGTCTCTATTAGAAACACTGCTTTATCCCTGCACAGCAGCAAGCAGGTTGCACTAACACTTCACCTCTGCCAGTAAGTCATTGCTGACTTTGTAAAATCTTTGTGTGCTTCAACCTTCCAGATTTTCTGTTAGTTCTTTTTATGCCGATGCTGGACACGTTGGACACATGTCCAACCTGCTGGCTTGCCTGGGCCACGCTAAGTGAAGAGGAATTGTCTGGGGCCACATATAAAATACGTTGTTTGCTCCAAAAGTAATGCCTCCTATTTATTTCCCTGGAATCTACAACAGATACAGTGAGCACAGTAACACTGTTTGATAGAACAAATTATCAGCTACAAAACACAAATTTTCAACATAGTCACCACCATTAGCTCTGCATTTTTACCAGTGATGAACAAGAACCTGTATGCTGTGCTTGTATAAAGCTGCACTGGCAGAGGTGACCACTGTCACTGCCACCACTGCTGAAATGCACCACCCACCCCTCGCTGTGCTCACATCCACTGGTTGGTCTCCATCAGTGTTCACATGCATCAATGAATGGCACTCACTGGCATTTTTTCTGCACAGAGGAATTAAATTCCACATGTTTGCTCCATACACACTCCCATGTCACGCACCATTCTGTCACACTGCCCCTCTGCTGCCATCTGTCACACAGCAAAAACACAATAGTTTATTGATGGGAAGATTCAGCCTCTGCTGCCATCCCACCAACATCCGTTACTGGTCTTGTGGGCAAACATAAAACGGGAGGCAGTACTTTCAGAGCAGTCCCCAGATGCAATCTAAAGTATATGGGCAACAGAATTTATTTTCTTTATTAAAACATAAAATGAGAAAGCTACAAAGCCATAAAACTAGTGGGATATGTGATCTTGTTTTTCTGCAACTAATGTCAGTCTGGTTCAGTGGCAGTAGCTGCAGTTCTCATTTAGCTCTCTTGGTCCTCAGATATATTTAATCTCATTTTACTCTTCTTGTACCCTTGAGAACAGCTGTTCATAAAAGTATGTACTGCCAAAAAGCAATGACATCAATAAGGCTGATTGTGAAGTGGGGGGGGTTTCTCTCTGGTAAGAGAGGGCTTATAACATTTGGTAAAGAGATGAGATCAGATTTTTCTTCCAGTTGAATATCTGATTGAAAATCTACACATTCCATTTGAAAATTTGCATGTCATGTGTTCATGTCAACTGAAAATGGAGTTGCAAATACACACCAAAATATGTTTTTTCTTGATGGTCTTAAAACATCTTCTCAAATTCCTGTATCAGAATGGAAAGCATGGCTGCGTATTTCTCAGCATTTGCAGGGTACTCTATGGTACTGATGACTCAGTTTAAAAGATGCAGATATGCTGCTCCCACAGGATGACTGAATATTATGCCGACTCTTGTGGTAGAGTCTGAAGATGGAGTGATGTGATCAGGACAGAGAAAAAAGGCAACTGCAGCTGATAAGACTGAATAGATGAAAGAAAAGTTATGAAAGACAAAAATGGCAGTGCTTGGAAAATATCAGGCCTTGTTATTTTTTACTAAGAACAGTAAATACTTGCATGCATATCTCTATCCTACCTTCCCTGTTCCTCATGATGGTTCCTCTCTTTTTTCTTTGAAGCACATACACGAATGGCTGAATCCACTACAACAACATGACAGAGAGGAGACCAAAATCAGCGTTCCAACTACAGAAATAGAGCATTAGTCACAAAATCAACCTCTGTTAAAAATTTGGGGCATCACACACTACTTGGTGAACTGTCCACTGTATAAATCTTGAAGACACTGAATACAATGCATCTCTTGTCAGTGAATCATAGAATTATTAAAGTTGGAAAAGACCCTGAAGATCATCAACTCCAACCATCCAATTAAACTACTAAGTCCATCACTAACCATGTCCTGAACATCACTGCACTGTTAATAATACCTCCAAGCAGAGCGACTCCACCACTTCCTCAGGCAGCCTGTTCCAATGCTTGATAATCCCTTATGTGAAGAAATTCTTCTTGATATCCCACTTAAACCAACCCTGGCACAACTTGAGCCTATTTCCTTTGAATCCTATCATTGTATGGGAAAAGAGATCAACCCCTGCCTCACCACAACCTCCTTTCATGGAGTTGTAGAGAGCCATAAGGTCTCCCCTAAGCCTCCTTTTCTTCAAACTGACCCATTCCAGTTCTCAGCCATTGCCCATAGATCTGTGCTCCAGAACCCTCACAGCTCCATTGCCTGTCTCTGGACGTGCTCCAGGGCCTCAACGTCTTTCTTGTAGTGAGGGGCCCAAAATTGGACACAGTACTCAAGGCGCAGCCTCACCAGCGCTGAGTACGGAGGACGCCTGGGCACACTGCTGTCTCACGTTCAGCCCCAGATCCTTTTCCTCCATGCAGCTTTCCAACCACTCTGCCCAAAGCCTGTAGCGATGCATGGGGTTGTTGTGGCCAAAGTGCAGGACTTGGCACTTGCTCCTGTTCAATTTCATCCCACTGGCCTCAGCCCAGCAATCAGCCTGTCCCGATCTCCCTGTAGAGCCTTATCTGCAAAGTTTGTTACTGCAAAGGTAACAATCTGATATTCAGATGTCACTTTTCATGTGTGACAGATCTGCCTCAAAGACTGGTATCAGGAGCTTATAAGCCTCAGGAAGCATTTGAGAACTACTGAGGAAGACCATTTAGATCATCTTAACTTGTATATATACATTGTCACTAATTAACACATTAATTAGAGCATTAGCACAAAAGAGATGCTAGGAAAGCAAGCTCCCTCAACCACTCATTAATAAATGGTAATAGATCTTCTGTAGGAATCTACCAGGTAGCAACAGACAGTCACTAAGCTCATACTGAAATTTCTTCCTCCGTGCCTTTTTTGCTCCCTTTGGTGTTTGCAGGAACCCCAAACATTCTCCTTACCAAATATGTCAGCACAGTTTTTACCGAGTTCCTTTTTCAGGCAGCAAAACCGGAACTATAACAGTAAATTCCTCTTCACACCTGTTGATGCTACCCTTCATCTCGAAATACTCTTAAAGCCTTAACTAACATTTCTTGGACCTTCTCAGCTCTTCTTGATCCCACTCTTTCTCTTTCAGAATGACGCGCTCACGGAGCTTTGCTGTAATGTGCTCTAGCAGTGCCTGGCGTGCTTGAACAACTTCCTGCTCAGATGCTGACAGCATGTGGTACGGTGTGTTAGCAATTCTCCTGTCCTGAAACATAGTGTGAGTTAATCCACTGACGTATGGCAGCATTAAATCTAACACATTTTTCTGAAAGCTAAACCAAGCCATTCCAAAAGCACAGCACTGTCCCTAATAGATCCTGGCTAGGAGCTTCACCTGTGATGAGGGGCACGGGACATGCCCAGGTCTGAAGTTGTGGTTGTTGTGCTTATCAGTTTGGCGAGTACTCAGTGAGTCAACTAAAACAGTTTTCAAACGTTTCAATAAGGTGGAAGCTGCCCTCATCTTGCAGAGCTCCTCTCCCAGCACCTGTGAAAGTGCTGAGAAGCTTCCTGGAAATGGAAAGACATCCAGAGGGTGCTGCTTGCCCACTGTTATGCTTCTCCCTAAAAAAGCTATATATATGTATATGAATAAAGGCAGAATTGCTTCCAATTGGAACCATCAAAGAATCCTTGACTTTTTCAAAGCTTGTTTTCTGAATCAGGTAGGCCAGGATAAAAAGAATCCGGCAGAAATGTTCACTGCAAGATTAGTAAGTACAAGCTTTTACTACAGTAAGATCCCTTTTGAAAGGAACTAATGAATTACTGAGTTTCACTCTATTTCATGTATGTAGTAAACAAATAAACTCATTTTGTTTAGCAAATATACTTAGAATATGTTATAGATAATATACAACATACATATGCATACATATGTATCTTAACATATGTTTTATTTAATTCCCTTATTTTTTAAATTCATTATTTTAAGGTTTGATTGATAAGGCATTTTCATAACTTGTAATACACTTCAAGTTATTATCATAAATATGTACTATATATTATTATTATTTATATGTATAATACCATGTTATATATAATAATCATATATATAGTACATCACAATACCTTCTCCTGATTTCATTGTAGCCTCACAGAAACAGATGTGACATTTGTGTTTAGTTTCTCAATGTATGATTACATTTAACTTTCTCCAATTCAGTTCCGAATGGAGTGTTGTTGTAACAATTATCTGCACAGGCAAAATGCTTAAGAGACATTCAGACTTGAAATGGTGAATAGTTCAGAAGCAATGAAAGGAGAAAGCAAATTTCCATTGAGCATTTTCGAAGGCTGCCCTAGACAAACTGTGAGGATGAAGCAGAACACATATCTGAACAGATACAAAGAACACTGCATTTTTCAAGACAGAAATGTAAGTCATACCTGATAATATTTATAATAGGCAAAGTCAACAGCAGTTCCCACAGCTTTTCTCTTTCCCTCCTGAAGAGTCACTGGTGCAAGGATATCTGCGCCAGCTTCAAGCAGCTTATCAACCTGAAGACAAGAAACCGTTGCACGTCCCAGCAAAAACAAAAGCTCCCAAAAAAATCTCCTTCATGCTCTAAAGAGACAGGACTGATTATCAGAGCTTAACATCTATTTGTGAGATTGCTTTGTGCATCAAACCACACATTTCTTCTGCTCCATTAAAGCTGTTCATCAGTTGATGATCTAAACATGTTTTCTAAGTAAAGCCTTCTTGCAGGCAGTTGCTATTTGGTTCTGGATATCTCAAAATCCCGCATTCTGAATGAGATCAGCTCTGTACTTCCTGGGGTGAGAAGAAAAGTTCCAACTTTCATACACACAAACACTGCCATTGACCTTAACGTAGAGAGAAAGTGAGAGAGAAAGTGAGTGGGATTCCCCTATCCACAGTAGCACAACACACCTCTCTCCATGTGAATGGTGTGTTTACAAACAAGGAAACAGATCTTGCAGAGCTGTGGGTTCTACAGTAATCCTATTTGCCTTTAATGACATTTTTTTCTTTTCTAAACCAAAAGGTTGTCATCCTCTTCAAACACAAAAACAAATGACCACACAGATACCCTGCTCCACAGGACAGGAACAGGCAGTGTTAGGAATACATGTATATGAACTGTTCTTCATATATATTAACTGCTTATTACCCATTAAAGAGAAAGGGAATTAAATGCACGTGATAAATATCATTGCTTTTTCTGAAGTTAAAAAAAAAAGACATTTTCTCACCAAAGCAATCCTCTGTGCTGTTGTTCTCTGGTGTTCATATGCGGTACTGACAGCTGCACAGAGGGCACTTTCCACAGCTCCACTTAGTGGCAGATTTGGGTCAGCCCCATGTTTGAGGAGTTCAACCACTGCCTGCAAAGGTAAACGTTACAAATTAGTGGCTGAGGTAACCATTTTTGGCAGTTCCACAGCAGGAAAGTGAGATCCTAGCCACATCAGCCAAGGCCCTAGAGCTTTAGAGTACACCTGGAACATCCACTAGTATTTGTCACAGAGCTGGGACGTGCACTCAGCACTGCTAAGGCCACAGAGTCCAGTTCTGGGCTCCCCCCTGCAGGAGACACGAAGCTCAAGGTGTACCTAATAATAGATATGTAATATCTATATTATCATGCAAACATAATTTATAGTATTATTATCATGTTGTATTATTAATATTATTATTATTTAAATATGTTTATCTATAAATAATAATGTCTATAGACATTACAGACAATAATATCAAAGTCTTTTACCGATGCATTTTTAGACATTATCAGTGTGTGCACAATGAGGTTGAATCCAAGCTCATTCCAGTGCCAATACAAGAACACACAATACAAGGCACGAATTGTAACAAAGGAGGTTCCATCTGAACATTAGGGAGTAATTCTGGGCTGAGCAGCTGCTGGAGCACTGGCACAGGATGCCAAAAGGGATTGTAGAGTCTCCCCACTCAGAGATCTTCATAAAACATCTGTAGGTGGTCCTGGGAATCCTCTTCTGTGTGTCCCTGCTTGAGCAGGAAGGCTGGAGCAGATGTCCTGCAGAGGTCACATCCAACCTGAACCGCTCTGTGATTGCACATCCACCTGGACATAGAGCTGTGACCACATCTCTGACTGTGGCCATCCAGCCGACTCCTGACCCACTGTACAGTCAACCTTTCAAATCCATCTCACTCCAACTTAGAGACGTGGATGCTGTCAACACACATATCTGTTTCATTACCTGGTTTGGATGTACATCTGTTGCACCACGGTGTCAGCTGTGGACCTGCCCCAGAATGGGCAGAGGAAAGTCAATTCCTTGCTCTGGGAAGATAGTTGCTGAATTCTACTGTGTGAACTACAAACCTCATTTGTGGAATGCTTAGTCTCATTAGCACCAAAATCACTTTGAAGTCTGATCATTGATCTTTTCACTTATCACCATATTTCACATATCACCAATAACTGCATTTTTGTCTTCTACCCAGAAAGAAGTGTTTTGATATTTGGTTGAATCACTCTGGGCAGGGAGATTGCACATTAGATGATTCTCATGAATTCATAAACATGAACACATTTATCAAAATATTAAGTCCTTCTGAATTCTACCCAAGTATTTGTGGCTACCTCATTCTGTAGTCATTAGTCATTTCAGCTCACGAAACACCCATGGGTTTAAAAGAAAAGTAAAAACATTCTTGCTAGAAATGTACACTGGCAAGCTCTGTGTAGCCTGGCTATCAGAGAAGGCCTACAGAAACGAGGAAGACATCAAAAACTGAAGATACTTTGAAATGCCCACCAAGTCATTGCCGCTGGCAATCGCTAAGGAAAGTGGCGAATGGCCGCTCCACAGCGTGTTTGGGTTTGCCTTATGCTTCAAAAGGAGGCGGATAACATCTCTGGCATGCTTTGTAGGTAGGTGGCATGGAAAAAAGAAGAAACAGAACATAGTGAAGTCAACTTTTTAATATCAGATCAGCATCATAATAATAGAGTAATTAATTAAACAAGCTGTGAAAAACACACTTAAAGCTTTCACAAATTGTGGTGTTACAGTAGAATTATATATCCGTTTTCTTCAGATTGGAGCTTCATGATCCTTGAGGTCCCTTCCAACCCTGGCCATTCTGTGAGAGCCCAAGCACAGTAGTGTCAAACATAACCAGATTCCCAAAAGTCATTAACCCTGCCACCAGGGGAATATGTAGGTTTGCTTTCGAGGAAGCACATCCCCTCTCTCATATACCACTCTCCAAGTGCATGCATCCTAAAACGATGACAAGAATCTTACAAAATCAAATTCGCAGAGGCACATGCCAAAACTAAGACTGCCTAACTTCAAATTGGCCCTGTGGATGATAAAAGTTTATGGCCAACTAACAAATGGTAATTTGAGTACAGGAGTTTCCCATGCCAAATGGTACTCCACAGTTGAGTAAACTTTTTCACCTCACACATGAATAGATTTATGATCTGTACAACACTGATAGTTCAGTAGGAAAAGAATTTATTGCTGGAACTCAATCACCAACCTCAGAGATGAAATGTCTTCACTGCCAAAGTTGGTTACTCAGATGCTGTGCTCTTACCTCAGTGTTGCCCTCTCTTTGGCATGCAATATGCAGCGCACTCCTCCCACCTTCTTCTGGAACAGGACCGTTATAGGAGGCAAAGTACTCTTGTGGTGGTCCTGCTTCATTTTTCAGTGGCCAAGAGACATCAGCTGACAAACTGGATTCTTTGTCTTGAGGCTGAGAAATCAAAGTGAAATCATCTGCCTATTTGTAACAGAGTTTAAAGACAAGTTAACAAAAGTAAGCCTGTCTGGTAACTCATTGGTCTGGATCTTAAATATAGATAAGACACATTCCCTACAAAATCCACTGCTCCCCTTTTTCTGCTTTCTTCATTCGGTTTTCATCTGCCAGACTGCTTTAGGAGTGCACTCTAAAGAGTGCAGTAAAACCACTGAAGGAGTCCATGGAAAGAAAATTTTAGAGACAGAATAACTTACTGGGCCAAATTATATCGTGTGGGATGCAGGAAAAAAGAAGCAAGCTCTTAGGCACAAGGGGGCTTCCTTGAGTCAAATTCATCCCAATGTCATTCAATTCAGGTCTATGCCTATAGGCTCACCAGACCAACATATAAATATAGATGATATAGGTATATATGATATGTATATACATGTATGTATATGTATATATGAGAAAACAATCTTACCTGCACAACGTCTGGGCATTCTGCAATTGAATAATATTTCTACTTACAGATAAAGTATAGAAATACAAACTGAAAAAGCCATCTAAATCTCCCTGTGCTACAGACATTCATCTTAGTCCTTGTCACAGCCAAATAAATGTTATCAAACTATTTACACAAGCTGACTCCTTTTTAAGTGAATGAGACCTGATGGTATGCTAAGGAGCTGGACAATGCCCTTACAAGACCCTGCTTACCTCTGAGGAGACATTACTGAGGACTTACAAAAAGTAAACACCACTTTTATCTTATGGGCAAGGCTGAAGGGATCTCCAGGCTGGACAGCCTCACCTCAGCATATGGGAAGCTGAGGGAAAAATCTGAAAGACTATCTCCAAACATATTCCTTATGGGGAGCAGTCAAAATAGCTTTGCAATGGGGAGATCACACCTGACAAATACATCCTTCTACAATGAGATGAGCAGCTCAGTGAAAGATAAGAAAACACTCACTGTTCTTTACCTTGACTTTAGCAAGGCATTCAGTACTGCCTCAGACAGAGAGCTGGTTTGTGATCAGCAGCATGACATCCAGCAGTGCTGTGCCCCAGGGCAGATACCATAGAGATACCCGTAGGGTAGATACTATAATAAAGCCCTAATGACCTCAATGCTGGGACAGCGTGCACGATCTGCAAGATGATATAAAACTGCAGAGTGGCTGATACAGCAGGCAGTGCTGCTGCTGTTCTGAGGGAATTGGACAGTCTGGAGAACTGGGCAGAGGGAACCAGTACACCATGGAGGCTGAACAGATGGAAATAAAACCTTCTAGAGCAGGACCTGGAAGTCCTGGTGGACAACAAGTTGAACTTGAGCATACACACACCCCTGCAGTATAGGTCAGCAGCACCCTGGGCTGCATCACAAAGAATGTTGCCACTGAACAGACTGTCCACAGAAGTTGTCCTTGGAAATACTGAAAAAACAACAGGTCTAGATACTGAGCAACCTGCTGCAACTTTGAGCAGGGGTACTGAACTACACAGTCTTCAGAGATCCCTTCCAATCTTTCAACTGTTCTTATAATAAAAATCACATAATCACAGAATTTAAAGTAATATCTCTAGTAACAAATGCAAATCAATATTATCAACTTCACATGACATTTTCTTGTTTTTTAAAAGCTAGTCCAGTAAAATGCAAAGACTTCTCTGCAAGGAGGAAGGAGGCTCAGTTCCCTGCTTATGTCCTCTGCAGTCTGAACTTGAACAGGTGAAAGGAGATGAGATGAGAGAGAAACTGACCTCATCTGGACCATATACCTCATTTCCATCTTCTGCCCTTGCATCAAGATCTAGGGCAGAACTCAGGAGGTACTCTGTTATCTGGACTCCTTCCTCCCCAGGAATAGAGGCAGCTATGTGAAGAGGAGATAAACCCTGGAACTGAAAACACAAACACAGCATTAAGACTCCTGTTTATCATAGAATCCTAGAATGGCCTGGGTTGCAAAGGAGCACAGTGCTCACCCAGTGCCAATCCCCTGCTGTGTGCAGGTCGCCAACCAGCAGCCCAGGCTGCCCAGAGCCACATCCAGCCTGGCCTTGAATGCCTGCAGGGATGGGGCATCCACAGCCTCCTTGGGCAACCTGTGCCAGTGCGTCACAAGCAGGACTCAAACAATTTTTTGTTTGAAGAACAATCTGTTCAAACAGTTGAAGAACAGTCCAAGCTCACTCTTCACCCATGCTGTGTCTCACTGACAGTCACACACACTGTGAATTACAATCCAGTAAAACCTTGGATGGAAGCCGCACATCAGTCCTGGCTCCCTTTTCTAAGAGGAGTTTCACTGCCTTTGCATCAGCAGCTTTAACAGCAAAGAAGAGAAGGTGTGATGGGACCCAGGAGACGTTGGGATCTGCACCTCGCCGAAGCAGCAGTTGGATTGTTTCCCATCTCTTCTGTTGCCTAAAGTTGACATAAAAAAAAAAACACCAGAATAACTACTACACTAAGATGAACCACAGGTAATAGAAATGAAAGCTGCCACATTGCAGAGGCAGGACGTGGCATCACAACTACCCTACACCAACACCCAATGTTATGACCTGAAGAGGTGTACCTCAGCCCTCTGAGCTAAAGGAGCAGTTTGCTAAAGCAGCCCCTGTGATCATGAGAAGTCTTGCGTGGGAACAGACAGGCAAAACTAGGCAAGATTCTCTGCACCTCCATCAGGTCCTCACTTGTGACTGGAGTTTTTTTAAATCACAGAAGCAGATTTCCTGCTTCCTGGAGGGTTCTTTCCTCACTCACACCTCACTCATTTCCCTAAGGAATCAAGGCTGTAATGTTTCCCTTGATCAAAGACTGGTAAGTAGTTAGGCTAGACTAGAACTAGTATTTCCTTGACATACAGCTATCTATACATCCCACAAAAAAGCCTGACACCATCACAAACACTTTTTTTTTTTTTTTAAAGGCAAACTTGGGAGTCACCCAGAAACTCTACTGCAAATCATTCTCAGCAAAGACTCATCTTTTCAGGCATGGTATTAAATAAGCTTTGCTCAATTCAATGGATCTTTATATACTAATCAACATCAGGTAATATACACAATATTTCAGACAAGACTCATGGAAAGACGTGCCACAAAAGGAAGGAGTCACGGCCAATGTCAATCAGAAAGTTTCAATTTGGGATTTTTAAGACAGCAGAATTATCTATGGCAACATAAAACACAACACAAAAATGTCATTATGTTTGGTGATTGCCAGCAAAACAGAAGGGAGAATGTGGCCTTTTCCAGGATACACATAGCAAAAATAGTTGTGCCACATTTCAGTCAATACAAATGAACAGACACTTGCATAAAATAACCATTAAGTTCATATGGAGTCAAGACTTTGAGTGAATTATTTTCCTTCCTCACATCTGCACTACATTGCACGTGTCATTGCATACTTAGCAGCTCTTCAAGTCAAGCTAACTAGAAACCTTGTGTCCCCCAAGCATGAAGATCTTTGCTTCAGCAACACTTTTCAACTGCAGTCTCTCCCGCTGCCAGCCTGAACTATCAGTGTATAAACAGTGAGTGCCTTCTACAGCATGAAAACAGCATTTACCCATTTATACATACAAAAAAATAGCTTTCCCTGCAATGGATGCACCCTTCTGTGAAATACTATTACTACTCTGTACAAAAAGGTTTACGAGAATTTGTCTGCTTACACAGTAAGTGCAAGACTTACTCTGAGGTTACGCTCCCAGCCACACTGACTGCTTCTGAGGGTTCTGATCGTTTGTTCCACTTTCAAAGATTAAAAAAAGAAAAAAGAGAAAAGAAAGAGGTTACAAAAATAAAATAAAAGCTGGGCAGCATAGAGTTAAAACAGAATACGGTCGAGAGATCTTTTAGAAGTAATTTCTAGTTAATATTAAAAACTAAGAATAATACTCAAACACAGTATTCTTCTTGCCTGACTTTCTTGGTGACTCAAGTACATACAGAAAGATAAATTCCTCCAGCATCCACCACCTGGCTTAGTTTAAAACTAGATGACTTTTAAGATCCCTTCCAACCCATACCACCATATGATTCAACACAGAAAAAAAAGGGAAAGCAACGTGCATTTTTCTTGCTGAATCTCAAGAGACAGTGACAGGCACAAATAAACACAGAAAGATCCTCTCTCTATCCCAAATTACTTGGTATTATCTCTAAAATGAGAGGTAACAGTTTCACATTTATTTTTCTGTGAAGCTTTGAGCACCTGTTGTATATTCATCTCTCACTCTCCTTCTTCCTTTCCCATAAAAATATTGCGACTTCAGCAGTGAACTACCACTCAGACATCCTCTTGTAACTGGAACAGGGACTTCAGAACATCCAGAGATCATGGAATCACAGAATCATTTGAGTCTGAAGGGGCCTTTGAAGGTCGCACTGTCAACGCCATCGACGAAGATGTTAAAGAGCACCAGTCCTGGTACTGAGCCCTGAGGGACACCACTTGTCACCAATCTCCATCCAGATACTGAGCAGAGACCACCACTCTCTGAGTACAACCTCACAAACATTCCTCATCCATTGAACAGCCCACACACCAAATCCAGATCTTCCCAATCTGGAGAGAAGGATGTTGTGAGGGACCATGTCAAAGGCCTTTCTTTGTCCAGATAGATGGTATCAGTGTCTCTTCCCTTGTCCATCACAGAATGCCACAGGTAGGTGCTGATTTCCACAGAAGCTTCCACAGGACATGGGCCAGTACCTCTCTAGTTTATTTTGAACATCTCAGCACTACTCTTCCATTTTCAGCTTCCACTGAAATACTTCCAACACCATGCAGTTCCTACTTGCCTAGTCCCCCTTCTTATCCATTTTCTCATCCTAGCTGGTGATTCCAGACATCCCTGTTTTCATTTTCGCTTTTATTTCCAGGTTTGCACTGTTACAAAATGCAATACTCCCAGATGAGAAGATTCAGAGCAGGTGTTTTTCTTTGCAGCAGACGGATTGGAGTTTTCCTTTTGTGATCCACCCCATAGCAATCAGACTTGTGACAAGCTTTTTGCTTGCCACCTTAATGATGCCAGCATGACTCCGTAGTACCAGGCGACCCACCTGTCTCCTATTGTTCTAATTACATTTTTGTAATTCCCACTAATTAGCTCGCTGCATCTTCACTGTCTGTAACACCAAGCAAACATGGCCTCACATATCTGTTATGGATACAATGCCTTATTTTGCTTGCAGAGAAAGCTTGTTACTAAGCCAAGCCTTTTAACTTCAGAGTCAGTAGTGACAGGAAGGATTACTATGCATCATTAGAGTGCAAAATGCAAAAAAAAATCATTTTTCCTACACAGAACTTGAAAGAGCAAGCTTACAGCCTGAAGATATAATACATTATGTTTTGTCAAATTAGACAGAAACAAACCTGGTAACAGTGCAAGCTGCTCTCAGCAATGTTATCCTTAAAAGATTCTTCTGGATAATAGAGAATAAAGCACATGGAGAGAGCAGATAATCCCTCATCGCTACACTTATTCACATCAGCTCCACTATCAAGAAGTAGATTCACAATATCACAGTGGGAATGAACCTGTAGAAGGGAAAAATCCATACTTGCACAATTCTAGCTTTAGACATTGAAAGAATTGACAATAGTTTTTAAATAGTGCTTTACACTGTTCAGCTAATTCAAATGTATGTTTCCCACAAAATAACATATACAATATAGAACCATGTCTTACAGGGTTCAAACTATGCATCTTTCAGCTAAATTCTGTCCTCAAGTATACACTTGCCCTTATTTCTTCCTTCTTTCTGAGAATGAGGGAGGATTTATGTACAGAAGGAGACCAAGACGTCTACAGAAAAACAGTGTTCTCAATTATTATCTTGACTTTGCTAGCAATCTGTAGTGATTGCCAAGTATTCCAGTAACTGAAAAGGGCACAAATTAAAATATTAGGGGTGGATTTCATGCCCTTCCTACAGGAATTGAAGTTGTGCATGCACGGATTCTAGCCACTATCGCTTCTCAGCAAAAACAAAACAAATCCACCTGACTCTGAGTTCAGCCAGGAGAAGAAATAAGGGCACAGTTCTAACCAAGAATGTAGGTCCAATGCACAGCTATAACCTGAAATCAAACCTGGCGTTTGAAGCCATCTCTAATACTTAATGAAGGACTTCCTTTAGATTATTTATTCACAGTGGGGTTTGGCATGATACCAATCACTACAGGCACTACTCATGCCACCCTCTTTTCTGTTTTCTTGTTTACTGAGCATTGCTTTCATATTCTGTAACAAAACAAGACCAACATGTTATTCAGCCTACTATAGCAGGAATGTTACCGTGCAGTAGCACCATGCTTAGGGTCTTACAGCAGCAGCAGCAAGTGCAGTGTATCCCTGTTTATCAGCCACATCTGGATGAGCCAATCCATTCCTCAGAACTGCACAGACTCCATCAAAATCTCCTCTTGCTGCCTCCTCAATTAACTGCTTTGAGGCAAGTTCCCTGGGGCCTGGATGTCCACAATTACTGCGGACTCCTCTGAGAATGAGCTTCATATCTGAAGAGAACTCTGCTTGACAGTGCCTAGAAAAAAGAGTGAAAAAACCACTGCACATTGAAGCACGCAGGTATTCCCTGACCACAAGGGCAGTTCAAAATGTGATGGTAAGAAGGGTGGACAAATCAGACCAGCGATCATTGTAAGATCCATTTCAAATAGCATAAATCTGCTGAAGGCAAACCAGAGTACAGGATGCTGGCAGCAGCATGTAGACTGTAATGAAGAGCAGTTCAAATATCCAGCCATCAAACATCTACTAAAAGAAGGAAACAAAATCTAACTTCCAATTATTTCAATGAACCAATTAGTTACACACACTCTTGACATCAGTTTACAATTAAATTTCCATCACTTGCAGTAACTATAACTATGAAATATGCTTATGCAGCCTGTGTTTCCATCAACAAAGCAAACAGCAGATACTCTGCCTGTCCGTGCAGTACTCCCATGTACAGCACCAAGTTAGCTGTTAGCCTAGCTGCAGCATATTTTATATTGCCTTGAGGAGAACAAGAGTCAGGATGCCCTCCAAAAGGTATCAGTGGCCAGATTCCCAGTTCTTTTGAAAAGCTGACACTGTTCTCCTTCATATTTACATCTTTGCAGAAAATACTGCTCTCAAAAGAGACGTGGTCATTCCTCGCAGGTCTCTACAGCCTTTGCCTCCCTGTTGCTATCAAAACTGGACTTCCAGTAATTTCACAAGCAAAAAATTAATCAGACCAATTTTATAGATGTAGCCAGAAGAAAATCAAGGCTTAACTTAATGAATGACATTTAATTTAATTTGTGAGCTAGGAGATGAATATATTATTTGTTGGTTTTGTTTAAAAATTCAACTTGTAATCTCAAGGCCATAAAAAACATCTGGTGCACTGCATTCATGCAATGTAAATTTGAAAATAATGAATATTTGTAGATAAAAAATGCTAACAGTCCACATACCATAAACAAATCATCAAGCATTACCTGTGCTTATAAGCATGCATTTGTATCCTAACTAGCAAAGGAGTTCCATTTGCAACAGGCCAGAGGTCTTCTTCAGGCAGCTCTTTGGTGTTCTCGAAGTAATGAGCATCACAGTCTTCCAGGAAAGAGTGAGTCAAGGTAAGATGATCCATGTTACAAGAATATGCAAGGACTCCTTCAGGGAAAATATCCTCGTCATCAAAAGGAAGATGTTTGTAGCTACGGAGGAAAGGATCTTCCTTGACAGAAATATACTTCTTTGGAGAACTGTCATCAAAATATCTGCAATGCTCTGGATAATCCAAGACAGAAAAAGAACCGGGTACTTCAGTACACAGTTTAATGAGATGATTTCCAAGCCACAAGCCAACGTCCTGACAGCCATCTGGATAGCTCTCAATCCCTGGTCCAAATCGCTCGTCAGATTTGTACAGTCCCTTAGGAAACAAGTGAGCTCATTAGTATCAGAGATCAAACACATCACACAACAGTCTGTTATACAACTGATCTGGCTAGTTCTGACTCTGCTGGACCAGCTCCTGTTGACACAGCAATAATAGCTGAAGCCATTCTGAACTTCAAAGCCCCCACATTCACTTGGGCACATTCAGTGGCAAACTAGTCTTCAAGCTCACAAGCAATGGAAGGCCCTAACAGTGAGATACAATGTTTAGATTAAACTCCCTGACCACTTTGTGCCCAGCCAAGATTTTCTTTTAATTTATTCAATGAGTAAATGGGGATTCATTAGCCAGGCCAGGATAGATTTTCATTTAGATTTTCCAAACAGAAACCAAGCACCTCTGATACACATCTGCACTGACATGGAAGATAGAATTGATAGCAGTTTATTTTCTTACAATGGTAACTAACAAACATGGTAGGAGACGCCAACAGAATAGACTTGGTCACAAAACACTAGAGGAGTTTTAATCTTCCTACAACGGTACCTCAGTTTGGCTGTGACACTATGGCAGGCAAGTGTAAGGTCTGATGGAAAATCTCCAAGAACTGTTTCAATGCCTCCATCACTGGGGCACTGCTTACCAGAGAAAAACGAACAGAAATAGTGTTCTCAGCTGGCAGCTGGAATATGAAACCAGAAGTGCTTGCTGAAGAGCGTGCAGAGTACATCAGAGGGTGTGTATGGCTCTACCCGACGCAGACCTGAGCTAATTCTCCTGTTTCAAGAGACATCTACATGACTAACATAAGGGACAGAGCTTCTGTGACCTCTGACTCAAATGGAGAAAAGGGTCAATGCTACACTTGCATGCAAGTGCAAAAGTTGAATTCCCCCATTCCTACCTTGTATGCAAACTATGAATGCAGATCTTTATCAATGACAGACATTGGAATCAAGTGCACCTCAGCAGTTTGCCGACAACACCAAGGTGAGTGGTACAACTGATACAACAGCAGAAAGGGATGCCATCCAGAGGGACCTGGGCAGGCTTGAATACTGTAAACCTAATGAGGTTCAACAAGGCTGAGTGTAGGGCGCTGCACTTGGGTCGAGGCAATGCCAGGCATTTATACAAACTGGGGGAAGATCCTGAGAGCAGCCGTGCAGAGAAGGACGTGGGGGTCCTGGTGGGCACAGAGCTGCACACGAGCAGCAGTGTGCGCCCGCAGCCCGGGAGGCCAGCAGCACCCTGGGCTGCACCAACAGAGGGCTGGCAGCGGGCAGGGAGGGGATTGTCCCCCTCTGCTCTGCCCTCGTGAGGCCCCATCTGCAGTACTGCGTCCAGGCCTGGGGCCCCCGGCGCAGGAAAGACGTGGGGCTGCTGGAGCGGGTCCAGAGGAGGCCACGAGGACACTCAGAGGGCTGCAGCACCTCTGCTGCAAAGACAGGCTGAGGAGCTGGGGGTGCTCAGCCTGGAGGAGAGCAGGCTGCGGGGAGACCGCACTGCAGCCTTCCAGTTCTTAGGGGGAGCTTATGAACAGAAGAGAAATTAACTCATTACATGGGTCGATAGTGACAGAACAAGGAGGAATGGTTTTACACTAAAGGAGGGGAGAGTTACATTAAATATCATTTATATTAAATATTAAATATTTATATTAAATATTAAATATTTTCGCTGAGAGGATAGTGAGGTCCTAGAACTGCTGCCCAGAGAGCTGTGAGTGTCCCAATTCTGGAGGAGCCCAAGGCCATGGATGGTGCCCTGGCAGTCTGATCTACTGTCTGGTTTAGTGGTTGGTAACCCTGTCGGCAGTTGGGGTTTGGAACTCGATGACCTTGAGGTCCCTTCCAACCCAAGCCATTCTATGGGTCTATGACTTCCCTTTAATTTAACCCAAAAGAATCTCAAAATCTCAACAGTCCTGATCTGATCAGGTTGTGACAGTAAGGCATGAGCATTACCAAACTGAAGCAGCCTCATGCCTCTGCATCATACATATTGCTCACGGCAGGCTCATCCTGAGTTGCCACAATACCAGAACAGCTATTTGGAGTAAAAAGGCTCCAAAAAAATTTAGACAAACTGTCTAACTGTAAAGAAACACGAGAAAAGAACTCACTGCCAACAGTACAGCTCTAAGTATGGCTATGATCTGAAGCTTCTCTATTTGCCTCTTCAGATTGTATGTTATCTACTGAAATTAAAGCTCTCCCAAATCCATAACTAGTAATACATCATCAATATTCAGGAAAAAATAAATTGCTATTATTGATCAACTCCCCATTGAAAAGACTGTACAATGGGAGGATTATTTTCCTCCACTCGAGGCTTTTCAGTAACACCTTGTGAGAAAACAAAGGAATGTAAGATTTTAGAAGACACCACATTCACTCCTTCAAGATTTTCTTACGCAAAAGTTCAGTACAACATAAGGTGAACAGTTGAAAAGAGCGCCCTAATTCACAGACCAAAGCATGAAGCTTTTGTTCTAAGCAAGAAAACCACTAAGAGCTACAGAGAGCTGTTTGGGAAAAAAAAAAAAAAAAAAGAGAGAGAGAGAGAAACATAAAAGAAAGGGAAAAGAAACTCCATTTTCCTGTACTTACACCGACTTTGAAAGGAGCAGAAGTCAAAATGGTAGGACAGCAGTTACCTGAAATGTTCTGCCATCCTTCCATTCCTGGGTCGCATAGCCTTCTACGTGGCCAAGATAGAACGCTCCTCGGAGTTGGGAGCCATCAGGACAGTAGCAAATGCCCTTTCCATGGCGATGGCTCACATAGAACTGCCCCACATATGTCTGTGGTTCAGAACAGAGGAAAAGGCAAGAATGATTTAACCGGGAGGACAGAAATAAGTCATTATTCAGCTCTTACTGGACTAACAAGGGGCAGTAAACTGAAACATGGAGAGATTTCAAGATCTCAACAGATCTCAAGTCCATTTTACTCATAAGCTTCAAAATTCGGGCAGAACTGGCCAGAATTGCCCCAGCCAGCAGCTGCTGCACCAAGCAGCCCGCAGTACTGAGTCACCACGGAACGACTCGGGACTTTGAAAAAAGCACAGATGATTGCTGCTCATCTGCACCTCCAACCTGCATGCAGTCCGCAGCTGCAGCTGAAGCCGCTGCAGATCCAACCTTTAGACACCACTCGTTTGTAATGAATACAGCTGCTACTCCAAGACACTTGCTCCTCATCAGCAAGCAGCGGTGAAATTTGACATCCCAAGCGAACAGTAATCATAGAACGACAGGGACCAACGGCTGTCACCGGCAGCTCCGGCACCTCCCGCGCCCGCAGTACCTCGCAGTGCCACCGCCGCTCCTCGGCCGCGGGCGGACCGTCCGCCATGGCCCCCGCTGCCGCACGGCGCGTTGCCCTGGGAACCGGCGGGGCGTCCGGAACGGCGGCGGCCCGTCACCTCAGAGCGGGGCCGGGCCGCGCGGCGGTCCTGCGGAAGCCGTGAGGGACAACGCGGTGCAGAGGGAGGAGACGGAGCGGCCCGGGCCGTGTGTGTGTGATTGCACGAAGGGCAACGGCTTCAAAGTAAAAGAGGGGAGATGTAGAGCGGGCGTAAGGAAAAAGCCCTTTAGCGTGAGGCGCTGCGCGGAGAGGCGGGGTGCCCCATCCCGCAGACAGGCCGCTGGGGCTGTGAGCTGCTGGCTGGCACCTGGTGGCTGCAGGGCGCCCACGGCCAGCGGCGGCTGGCATGGCACCGTGTGCCTCACGCAGCCTGTCCGTCTTCCTGCTGTACGCGGTCCTTTGGGCCGGGCCAGCTGGTGTGCGGGGGGTTGTAGCTCCGGGCCGGGGGATCGGGCGGTCGGGAGGCCTTCGGGTGCGCCTTGGGGGCGTGCGGTGCGGTGAGCGTGCAGCAACACGAGTTGGTGCGGGCAGAGAATTGGGGCGGCAGGAGGGTCTGGGGCCAGGGCTGCTGGAGGAGGCTGCCTTCCTGCTTCTGAGCACAGCAGCTTGGGCTTGTCTTGTTCCTATTTCATCTTCTGAGTTATTCTGAGTTACAGTGACTCGTGTGACACATTTTAAATCTGTAATGCATTCACTGCGTTCAGAAAACAGCTGCCCCCACACTTTGTCTCCCAAAGAGGGATGGTATTTTGGGTGATTGTAGTGATTTTAGGCACTGTGAGTCTAAGCAGAGACTTAAGGGCAAGAGGGGGAAAAATTGCAAGTGGAGGCATTTTTCCTCTTGATGAAGTGGAAGCAGAGAAAGAACGCCCTGTGCCTCCTCTTTAATTAAACAGACCCTTTTGTGGCAGGATTCCATGGTGCACACGAGCAGCGCAGGAAGTCAAGCACTGCAGATCACTGGGTTGCAGGCTGTTGGCCTGGAGAGGTCACAGCGATTCAGAATGTATGTCATCTATGTCTTAAGCAATGCTGCTCCTAGGATGCCATGGGCTATCTTATTTGAGAAGCCAGCTCATACATTTTTATGTGAAAACGGTCAATCTGAAATGAATTTACAGTAAAACAAACAGGAGGTTTTCCTTAGCCTCCGCTGAGCACTAAACCTGTGAAACAAGCTTTAAACAAAACTCTTAAGCTTTTTATCAACTTTTGTATTTCCTTTGTTTTTAATGAAAAATATACACTTTCAGTTTCCAGAATATCAGCAAAGAAAAAGGGCTTGGGAGTTACCTTTCCACAGTTTGGGGTTCCTCATAGCATGGAGGGTTAAAAGCTGCCTCTGCCTACCCTACAGATAACAACTTTGCCTGTTCTACCTGCTCCTAGATGTTAAAAATGGAATGAAATAGAAAATACCCAGCTGAAGCAGAGTTTCACAAAGAGGCTGGTAGAAAAGGAACCACTAAAATGAAAGCCTTTCTTGTAGGCAACCTCTGTTTATCACCACAGGGAGAATTAAGCAACGGCTCCATGACAGCAGCTCTCAGAGGAAACGAAACAAAGCAAATGCTCAGCAAGGCCACGCAGGTGGCATGCAATAACTGAGAGATATGTGTCCTAACTGACTCCTGAAATGAGGAAACCACTGTGTCCTGAACAAACAATTTATGGAAATGTGGGGAAAGGAAGATGCAGGTTCAAGAGGATGCTTTATGTTCTAACATCACTGCACTGCCTGGCTGCTCAGTACAAAGACGTGCTACAGCAGACATCATTGGAGGGCAGTTATGTGGGCACCAGTCAAGACCAGTGAAACCACCAGCCCACTCTTCTGATAGCACAGAACTTCCATTGAAGCTTTCCTGGGAAAGCAGAGTGACACTTTGTTCAGCAGCACAGCATGTGAAGCCAAGGATACGAGCAGGAGGAAATTCCTCTTTGTTTCCCTGCATTTTCTCCCCCTGGTAAGGAAAACTGTCTTGAGAAACTCTGCCACTTACCTGTGCCTTTTTGGAGCCTCAGGATCTCCTGGAAGCTACGATGCACATCATGTGCAAACCAAAGGCACGGCACAGCCCCTAGCAGTGAAGCACTCGAGCACTTGAAGACACAGTGCAGTTACAAAACTCAGAAGCAGAAAAGCAAAACCAAGTAACATCCTTTGGAAAAAACTGCTTAGTTTGGGCAAATGTCCCCAGCACAGATGGTAAGATCAGTAGCGAAATAAAGAAATTATCCATTGGAAATGTAAGTGTTCACGAAAAGACACCTGAAAACTTTGTTACTGGCACATAGTAAAGAGGTGTAAATAGCATAGCCCAGGCAAGGGGAACCCGGATCTCCCTTTTTTGCTTTGGATGATACACTACCCTAGAAGGTCAGAGCACTCCATCCTAGCAGTGCAAGTCTTCAAGTCTCCCCAAAGGCACCTCCCATGGGGCTGACTCTGTCTCGCTCCAATTTATAGGAGGGAGGTGAGGTTCTTTTAATATCTGTATACCCGGCGTGAGATTAAGAAACAACGGTTCATATGTTGGTCCAACCAGTTTATTACAAATCCTAATCGGGGGAGGGGGAAGGGAAGAAGGGCGATAGAAAAGATGGGAAAGAAGCAAGAATTGCGTAAAGCAGGGATGGTCAGCGCCAGGATCCAGCAGCGTCCCGCAGCACGGCGTGTGAAGGTCCGAGTCAGAAGCAGCAGGGGAGGGGGGGAGGGGGGGGAGCAGCAGCGTGGCGGCCTGGGGCAGCAAGCAGGCAGCAGGAGGCGGCCGCGGAGCAAATGATGCCACAATCATTGGCTCCGCGGCCATCATCCTGAGATAAGTCCACACAAAAGAGCACTTCACAGCCATTCAGCTGCAGCTCATCTCTCCTCCTTGCCCCCGGCCTTGTCCATCTTGTCTCCCAAAGGATTTCACAACCCTTGCCCAGGACTCCTCCATCAAAGTTCTCCAGAGAAAGGATTCCACAACCTTTGCTCAGGACTTGCCTGGACTCATTCATCTGTGTCCCCAGCAAGCTTTGAGACAATGATGTAAAAGAATCATCTCTTACACTCTCAGGCGAGTTGCTATCTCACACTGCCTGGAGTTACTGATGACAGAGTTGCTCTTTCAGCTCCCCAGTCCCAGCTGTCAGCCCTTCTGGCAGCTGTAGGAGTCACATAGCAATGTCCTTAGCTATGGGACAGAGCAGGACCCAAGCAGGAGCCAGGATTTCACCTATGACTTCACACTGACCAGTGCTAAATCCTCTGCTGCGTAGTTTTCATGTTCCCACACACACTTTTTGAAGATCTGTTGTCAATCTGTGCCTTCTGATTTGCTAAGCTTTGCTAAGCTTGCTTGAGGTTTTGCAAATCAGTTCAGTTCTGGAGACCTCGCTCTGGATGTTCACATCTCTGGAGTCGAAGAGATGACTGGCAGTGTTCAGAGGCAGTCCCTATTTCATGCAGTGTGCTTTAAATTCCTTTCTGCATCTCCAAGGTGATACGGGGCTTTCGAGGTTGACAGGACATTTCCCAGGGCTCAAAGGAGAACACAGAAAAAAAAGACTTCTGATGGTGTAAACAGCAGCACTGTGTGATCTTCACTGGGCCACAGGGTGAGGAAAAGCAATTTAGGACATATTGATCACTAGGCCAATTTCAGAGACTACCTCCAGGGACCTGACCTACTTTGAACTTACATTGGCCAGTGATGCATAGCTTCCAAAAGTGTCTGTGTGTCCTGCAGCATGTGATTCATTTGGGGATACCGAATTGAAGAGAGAACCACATACTTCTCTTGTCTCTCCCCTGCTTTCTCCCATTTGCTTAGTATTAAAGTAGGCTTTCATCTACATTTTGAGTTTGGAGTGTTGAAGTGGCTTCATTGCAAAAGGGAATGCTTGAGGAGAGCTTGAGGTTTTTCCTCTGATATCCTGATAGCTGTGAAAAGCTCCAAGAAGTCACTGTCTCCGCTGATCGGATGGAAGAATAAGGAGAAAAAGCTTAAATTAAACGCTCTGCTAATATTCATAAACTTTAAGGGCTTTGTATCCAAAGCTAGTAAGAGTCTGATTTGCTTTGGCAGTCTGAGCCTCGTGTAGTGCTCCCACAAATGTGCATAACGTAGAAACAGCGAAGCAAAACTGAACACCTCACGTTTAACTCTGATTGGGAACTGAGGAGAATAAAAGCTGGGAAAAATACATCAGCCTTCCTCTTCCCACCTCACTGTCCCAGATTTGCAGAGTTTAAACACCAAATTAGTCTTGAATCCTGTGTGAACTGAAGCATCTGCCTGAGAGCTTTCTGTGGGTCTGTGGGAAGCTGCTGGTCAAGGAAGAAGCTCTGCAGACACAGACTGGGAACACAGGCAATGGGCAAGCGCAGAGGTGGAGCTTACACAGGATTTTTTGATCAGTGTAAAAGCCTGAGACAGCTCAGTACCAATCCTGGGGCACAGAGAAAGGGAGCAGAGAGCAGAGTGCAGTGCTGGTGGTGGGGAGGGCAGCCGCCGTCCTCCTCTCCCTGCTCAGTGCATCAGCCACCACCTGTAGCACCCAGGATTCCTGTCCAGGTGAGTGCCACACCAGTCCTGCTGCCTGGGGCAGGCTGTTCTGTCTGCCCTCCTGGCACAAGGGCCATTACAAGGCCCTGGGGGGGATTTTTCCTTCTATGCACCTTTTTAATTCAGCTGCAGATGGAAGGCTGCGGGTGGGTGACGAACCCTCAGCTGCGTCCTTACGAAGCTGCTGGCTCCGGTCAGAGGTCCCCTCAGCAGTGGGGTCTCCAGGAACAGGTTTCCCGATTCTTTCAATTCCCAGTGCAAGATGTCCATCTGTGGATCTGCCCCAGGCTCTGCTGGATGCATAGCTGTATGAAGGGACAATCCAGTGCGTGCTGTGTGCCTGGCACCTGGCAGCTCAGGGACACCACACCATGCAGTCTTCTGTCTGTGTTCCCCGGGAAGGCAAAAGGTGTGATTTGAAACTGATCTAGTGTCATAAAATGGGACAGAACATTTACAGTCCAGACCCGCCATTGCCATTTACTCTTTGCCATCAGTACACCACAGGATACCTCACATCTTTTGTTTTATCAAGCTATAGTACCTTTGTCATGCGTGTAATATCCCATATAACAGCCTTCTTCCCAGTAAACTCCTCTGAAGTTAGAGAGGTTCCATGCCTCTCTCTTCTAATGTTAACTCATACAATCATGCTGAGCTCCCATCCTCAGCTAGGACATGACTTCTGCCTGTCTTTGCCTTTCGCACTGTTTCTGAAGCCCAAAGGGCTCAACTTCTTATCCCAAACATTTCAGAATCATAATAATCTCCAGGATGATTGTCTTCATTTACACAGAGCTGAAAATAGTGGGACTTGGGGAGGCAGACCGACTTGCTGTTCTTCAAGGATGCCCAGGGATCCCAGGTGCAGCTGGCTGAAAGGGAGAACCGGGCCTTTCAGGTACAAAAGGTAAGATTCCAAAGATACCAGACTGCTTTTTCATTTGTAGAAAGATGTGTGAAGGGGACACCCCTACCCATGGGAGTCCCTGGAGTTTTTCACAGCCAACTCATAGGGAAAGCGAATCACATCAGTAAGGGAGCAGCTCCACTGCAGCAGAAGCCACAGGCTGGTTCCAGAGTATGCAGAGTTCATAGGAATTCACATGTGAGCTGTAAATCAGGACTTGGACTGGCAGTATCATAGAATCAGAGTCACAGAATGGCTTGAGTTGGAAGGTAACATAAAGATCATCACATTCCAACCCCTTGCTGTGGGCAGGCTTGCCAACCACCAGATCAGGCTGCCCAGTACCAATATAATATAGCTTTAGCAGAAGAAATGGAGTGAGATATGTTGTCAAGTATGATCTGATGAAAAAAAAAAAGCTTTCTTGCTTTTGCAGAAGTTGAGGCCCAGCTGTCCCAACTTCTGTATTATCTTTCCTGTGGTCACACTGCATTGCACACATATGAACAGTGTTTTTTCTTGTAGGAGAAATGAGAATCAAGGGATCCCCTGGGAAAGCAGGACCGCCCGGTGCAAAAGGTAACCCATAATATATTTAGCTTTAATCCATAAAATCCAGGGTGTACATAAGATAACTGGATCTACAGAAATGAAACTCTTAAGAAACAGCTCTGAAGTCCTATAGGTCGGGCAGATTTGAGATGTGGATCTCGCATGGGATGGGTACTGGGAACTGCGTCCTTGGGTGGGATCTCAGAGTAAGATATTGCTCTTCTTTACAGAGTTTCTCTTGTCAGTCCCATAAAATCAGACCTCTCCTCATTCTCCTATTGCTGGAGTGGAGACAGCTGGTACGGGGTGACGCAAGGAAGGAATGGGCTGACCACCTCCAAAATCAGGAGCTGACTTATTTCACCTCTGGCTCTGCACAAGCTGGGGGCACAACTTCATGAAAGCATGTTGGACTGAAGGATTCAAAGCCATGGCCCAGTCTCTGGAAACAAACTGCTACTTCCAGCAGTACCTTTGGTGAGTTTTGTCCTGGGCCTTTTGCGCCACCATCAGCACTGTGGAACAGCACAGCGATGACAGCAAGGAGGCAGAAGCCCAGCACCAGAGGTCAGGACAAGGCAGCAGCGGTAACCAGTTTGTAGTGACACCAAAACGCAGAGTAAGGAAATAGCAGTTAGCCTGTTTGCTTCTCGCAGCCACGTGCAGCTTGTGTGTGGTTCCTTGTAATTCCTCCAGGCTGGGGTTGGCAAGGACACCTACATCTGGTAAGTGCATCTTCAGACTCTCCAAAGCCTCCTTGCAGATGAGAGAGATCTGAGCACATCTATCTTTTAGAAAGTGCCCATCACCCTGTGATTAGTGGCTCAAGGAGCAGCTTTGTCTGACGTAGGTGCACACCTGTGAGGCTGGGCTTGGGGCTGTAGTGCTCTCTGTTGCAGTGAGCACATTGTAACTCCTTCCACTTCCACTCTTTCCCTCCTCTGCTCAAAAGCCAGGAACTGCCAGGAGCTGCTGGATAAAGGGAAGATCCTGAACGGATGGTACACCATGCACCCCCAAGGCTGCAATGCTACCACTGTCTTCTGCGATATGGACACGGATGGTGGAGGATGGATTGTGAGTAGGATGGGGAGAGGGAAGCTTTTATTTCCCTACTGTGATTTTTATTGATACTTCAAATGATAGCACTAAAATAGCAATAAAAAGGGAGGAAGGCACTAAGGAGAAGTGAAGCCAGGTGGAGAGGGCAGCTGAAGTTCCTGTGACCAAGCCTGGGTGAATGCAGGGGATTCTTTTGGGAGACGTGTCTGGGAGCAGGCTGAGCACCCCAAACCCACCCATTCTTGCTCAGCCAGCAAACTCCTCCTCATTTCCAAGCACAGAGGAAGGGAATTTGCAAAGAGAGATCTGCAGTCAGGTTCAGCACTCCCAGCTGCCCTCTGGAGTGGTATATGCAGTGGGGCTTTGCAGAGGCCATGCCACCAGCAGGCAGGCAGTGGGGCTTCTGGAGCAGAACAACTGGCAGGGATGGACTTCTCATTTCCCACAGGTTTTCCAGAGACGCTTGGATGGGTCAGTGAATTTTTTGCGAGATTGGAATTCATACAAACAAGGATTTGGCAACCAGCTGACAGAGTTCTGGCTGGGGAATGACAACCTCCACTTCCTCACCTCTTTGGGTAAGGGCTGCCTGCTCCCCGGACTGGGGCAGAATGCAATCACTGCACAGCACTGCCATTAACAGACTTGAGCATCCCACATTCCTCCTGGGCCCCAAAGGTAATCCTAACCAGCATGCAGGCTCCTGCAGCCCAATGCACCACAGATATTCACTCTAAAAAAAGAAGTCAGAGAATTGAATGAGCTGCCTGCATGACTTATCCTGGAGACAACACATCTCCCTGTCGAGACTGTGAGAACAGTCATGTTGCCCACAGACAGCCTTGGATTCACAGTGATGTACAGGACAGGCAGTTCTGCAGGAATTTGAAGTCTATCACAATCTCTCTGGCAGTGGCAGCTCCTCTCAAGTCAGCTGAGGGCTCCTTTACCCCATCTTCTGAATCCCAGTTGAATGCTTACCACCAGCCCAACAGAACCACTGTCCTCCTCCTCTTTTAGGAGCATTGACCTGAGAGACTTCAACAACAGCTACTATTTTGCCAAGTATGCTTCCTTCCAAGTTTTAGGAGAGTCTGAGAAATACAAACTGGTTCTGGGAGACTTCCTCGGTGGGAATGCTGGTAAGTGAGCAACTGGGAAGGACTTTCCCAAAGCATTTCAGTAACATTCAGCATTTACAGCCTAGAGCAGTGTCACATACAGTCCTTGCACAACCTACATTTTGGGTCAGTACTTAAAAACTGCCTGTGGTGACCCAGATGCAGTGACCTCTGGGTGCAGGGAAGGAAAGGGATGTGCACCCCTGCAGATGTGTGACCCAGAGTGCTACCTACAAGCCCTGCCATGTACTTTAGCAACAAATGCAGAATCAGGTTACCTGGTATGTTGGGGTTGTGTTGTTGTTTCTTCTTAAAAAACATACAAATCCTCTGCAAAATTCAATATCCTTCATGTGGGAACGAGTGAAACCAACAAGTGAGATAGCAGTGCTCTGGGTTTATGAGCTTTGTCTGCTGCTGGTCCAGACCTCAGAAAGTGCAGAGAATGCAAGCGGTGCAAAAGAGTGGACACCTGTGTGACTGCAGGCAGAATCTGGCCCATGTGCTGCACAGCCATTGGTGGGTTCTCTCTGTGTTAGCAGTCCTAGCAGAACTCAGGATACCGCTCCTGTTCTGGGTGACCAAGGAGACTATGCAGGCAACCAAGAGAATGGGATTCAAACAAACTGCCTTACATCCAACCAGGCCCCTGCTGCCCTGCAGTTGGTGCTCAGGAACACGAGGTTCCCTTCTGCACTACTGCAGTAACTGAGTGTGTTCTCCCTGCAGGAGACTCCTTATATAGCATGAGGCCATGTCATTTTCAACAGCAGATCAGGGCAATGACATGAGATCCTTCAACTGTGCCACAGTCTTCAAGGAGGGTGGTGGTGCAATGACTGCCACACATGCCTCTAACCTCAGCAGCACGTACCGACTGGGTGCACGCGGGAGCTGTGCTGACAGCATCAACTGGAAGACGGGCAAAGAATGCCATTACTCCCATAAATGAACAAAAGTGAAATTCAGGCCAGTAGTGCAGGAGGATGTCTGACTGGCACTGGCAGATGCCACCCAACAGAAGACAGAAAACATCACATTGTTTGAGGGCGAGATCAGACCAAGAAGGACACTGTAAGTTGTGCCTTTGGCCCAGAGCAGCTGTAGCCTTTAGAGATCAGAAGGGAGCAGTACTGCTTTGAGCTTTTGTAAGCCCTGACTTTAACCCTGCTCTATCTCCAGCAGCCCTGCTGATGCTGAGTAAGCTTTTCTGAATGTAAAGATTTGATGTAAAGACTACCTTGGTGGTAAGGCTACTGTTTTTCAGTAAAACTCTCAGATGGTCTGACCCTACGTGGCACATCCTGCTATTTTTGTCTCTAATCTACGTACACAAAACCTTCAGTGTTTTTGCAGCCTTTTTCCTGTTGGATCCAAGAGCTGTCGGAAAGGCACTGAATTCTCTTCCCCATTGCCCAACAAATCTCACAACAAACTGGAGCCAGCTCCAGCCATTCCCGTGTTTTCAGGATCTCTCTTTCACCACTGTGGACCAAGAGCTGGAAAAAACAGTCTGTCCAGCAGTGAGTGGCACTAGGACAGTACAGCAGTCCCAAGTCAAGCCTTGTAGAAGGAGACACCATGGAAACCAAGTGTTAACTGCATTACAGTGACACATCAATCAGTGGAAATAGTGTATTTATTTGTGTGGGTTCTGCAGGATCCCGCATTTATCACACTTGGCGCACAAGTGTGCAGCAAGCTGACCCCCAAGGTCAACTGAGCTGGGGCTGTCCCTTCCCAGCACCTCATGCCCACACCAGCAGCGCTGGGGGAGGTGGGTGGCACCTGGCTGGAGAGGAGAATGATGCTCTCCTGCATCCCTCAGCCAGCACAGTGAGTTGGCACTGCAGCCCCTTCTGCAAGGCAGCAAAGCGCTCCCTGCAGTGATACAGCTGTGTGAAGAAGAGGGTCCTCAGGGCTTCACGGCCCTCCCCAAGTCCCATAGCTACAGCAGCCATGGAGAGGGCTTGCACAGACTCCAGCCAGGAAGAACTGAAGCACTAGGTCAGGATCCACCCCCCTGGGAGACATACATCATATTCAATATGCACTAGTCCACGTGGATTTCCTCTGTAGTTATTCAGAACTTAGTGGAGTTGATGCAGTCTAGGGTACAGTGATCCTAAAGAAGCCACACAGCAAAGGTCCAGCTGCTTGGAGTTGCAGGGAAACATGGTGAGGAGAAGGAAGCAGACCCTGAGCACACAGGGCACTGCTGTAACTGCAGACAGGAAGAGCACCTTCCTCCATGCAGCCTCCAAGGTCTGGTGACTGTCACCAGAGATGTCACTGTCACCAACCCAGAGATCCCACTTCTCCAAGAGTGGTTCTTGCACCTCCATCAGCTCCTACACCTGACAGTGTGGAAGGTGCAGAGAGGAGTCCTGAGATGTTGTGAAGGACATGCCCTAAAGGAACATACCCCCAAACTGTCAGCATGCCATCTAGTGCCTCTTGCTAGCTGTCCTTCCCATGAGTCTCTCCAGAAGAAAAGCAGAATAGCTCCAGTCAGTCTCTGACTGATCCCGGTGGTCACTGCTCATCTCAGCTTTTCTGTGTCCCAGAAAGCTCAAGAATTAGGTTTGCATTTTGTTTTTGCTCTTCAGCAGCTCTGGAAAGGAGTGACCCTGAAGACCAGGAATAACAGCATCCCTGGGTTCCTCCCGCTGTTCCCCCTGGTGTAAATCATGATGGACAAGGACAGGGGATGAGGTGAGAACCTGCTTTCTGCTTCACTCCAGGGCAGGGAGCAAGGAGGTGAGCAGCTGGAAGCAGCTCTGATGGCTGGCTGGTGCCAAAAAGGGGAAGCAGCCCTGTAGCCAGTGAGAGCCACTTTCAGAGATATTCCTGTGCAGTTTGGGACAGCCCAACACCCGTGGGATTGCTGCCAGCACCCAGGGGCTCTGCAGCAGTTCTTCGCAGGGAGGAACACGGCAGTTCTTCCACACGCCCAAGATTTCACAGCCAGAACTGAAAGATGACAGACTTTAAGGGATGGACCTTTGGAAGGAGAGATCTCCTTCCTACCTAACACCAACAACTGCTCACATGGGAATGTAATAAAACAGCTTCAGCACCTCCATACAATTTGCATTTGTTTGCACTGGATGTGGTGGTCTAAAAGAAAACATCTCCCTCTGACTTTTTAAGCTGTCCTTGTAAGGCAGCTGCACTGAAAAACAAGCAGTGCCATTTATGAGTCAGCACAAAACAAGCTGCATCAGGGGAAGAGAAGTTATTTCACTGTGCTTTGGTCCCTTCAGCCCATCATGGGCTGCTAGGATGGAAAAGGTGAACCCACTGCCCTTTGCACGGTGCTTGTGCTGCTGCTGTGCCCCTAGTTGAAGCAACAGATGCTGTAAGGAGCCCCACGCCATGGGCACCAAGTGGCACCTCAGGCAAAGCACCACTTTCTCACAGCTAACAGTGCTCTGTCTTCACCAAGGTTTTATCCTGCCAGCTGTGCTGACAGAGCATGAAGATGTTCACTGTGTTTGGTACTGTGCCTCAGCAGCAGCACTCTGCACAGGATGAAATGGCCATGGAGCCAGGCAGCAGCAGAACCACAAGTCCTTCTAGCAAAGATCTCCTTTGTCACCTGAGACTCAGCATGGGGCTAGATGTCTCTTCTATGGGAGCGGATGGGGCAGACAGAAAGCCCAGCAGAAGCACAGCTCTGTACCCACCCGTGGCTGCCCTCAGGATGCCAAGCAGATGCAGTCTCACAGCCATACAGATGCCAGCAGACAGAAAGTGTCATTCCCTGCTCTGAGCTGCATAACCCAGTCCAGCTGTGTCCAACCGCTGCCCTCTGCCTCCAGGAGAGCATGCAGACCCCCTGGCCCATGAGGCTCGCAATGACCCTCACATCATGTCCAAGGGACAGTGCTGGTGGTCGGGGGCAAGCCCACAGCAGAGGGACCAACTGCTGCAGTGCTGGTGGTGGCTGGCTGCCCCTGAAGACACAAGGGTACATCAGTGCTGTTTCCACTGCCGTTGCAGTCCATTTCACTCCACCGGTCAAATAAAAAAGTTGGAACTCTGCCTTCCACCAGGTTGAAAAGCTTCCATCCTTTTTGGTCTTCTGCTTCCTGAGGCTTCACTCCTCCTACTGGCAGCACTCCCCAGCAGGAAGCTGTTTGCTGGTGTGTTGCTGTCGAGCAGATTTCCTGTGCACAGCTGTCACAACCCAGAAAAGCACAACAGTAGCTCCAGGGATGGAGGATTCTCTGGACATGTGGCTGAGCCAATGGTCCTGGTGCCATTCAGTGTGTTTCATCTTCCTTATCATGAGGAATCTCTGCTGAAAACACTGCACTCCACCACAACATCCATCTCGGCACACTACTGTCACTCCTTTATGTGGGTGCCAGGGCACAGAGACACTGAGCCACATGTGACACCAAGTTCTGCCCAAGATCTCGAGATCAAGTCCACACGTAGGTCTGCAATGCTATTTGCACACCTCATTATACAATCTTCAAGTGCTTTTTGGTGCACAAAGGGCCACTATTCCAAGAGCTTACAGTGTACAAGAAGAGACACAGCTCCACTGCCACAAAGCCATCACACCTACTAACAACCACAGATATTTCGGTCCTAAGTAGAACACATCCCTCCCAATGAGGCCTGGCAACCAGCTGAACTGGAGACCTGTGGAAGGATAAGAGGTGCACCTCTCCCACCTCCAAACCCTGACAGAGGGCTGTGGGGAGAAATCCAGACAGCCGCAGCGCTGGGACAGAGCACAGCCCCAGTTCTGAGAGGAGATACTGGTTGGTTGGCTCACACCTCGGCGAGGCACACCTTCCACACTGCTCCCCAGAACCTCACTGAATGCTGGTGTGCCCCACCAGCATCGCTCCACAATGCAGCCATCCCTGTGGGGCCACCCAAGGAGGGTTTTAAGGCTTTGCAGCGTACGGCAACTCTGAGGCTCTCTGTGTGCCTCAAAGCCCCCAGCTTTGCTCCACAGGGATTCCAGCCCCCACAGAGGTTCCCCAAGCACAGAGGAGACGTGGAAGGAGAAGGCCATGAGCCCAGGGAGCGCAGGGAAGCAAGAGAGGGCTGCACTTCTGTAGAGGTGCATTTGGAAAGCATCCTCTAAGGGAATCCAGGTCCCTGACTTGCCATCCAGGATCATTTACTTTTAACAAGCCAAAGGCTGTTTGCTGTCTGAATTACATCTGTTAAAAACCTCAGATAAGACCTTGGTTAAGTCTCCTCTCCATTTTTCAATCTCAGAAATTAGAGACTGAGACTATGATTAAATAAATACCAGTGGGTCACTTAGTTCTTCCATCCTCCACCCTCTTTCTTCACTTCTGACCCTCCTTCTTCACTTCTGACCCTCCATTTACAGTCCATCCATCGTGCTTTGCAGGAGGCCCACAGCTCAGCTCAAAAGTGGATTGTCCTTCCTGGGCTCCAGGCTCTCTGCAACGTCTTCCAACTCATCCAAGATATCGGAGAAATACGGCCTCTTGAATGCTTCCACCTGGAATGAGAAGGGAGAACTGAAGAGGACATCTCGGACAGGTGGGTTACAGTGCGGCAGCTCTCCTGGGTCCCCCATGGCCGAGCAGCACTCACCCACTGCCAGAAATGCCCGGACTGTGCACCTGCACACAGAGCTTTCTGGCATCACACACTGCAAGCTGACATCTCCTGACATCAGTGGGGTGTGATAACTGCTCAGCCCAAAGGCAGTCTGAGCAGAACAGGATCAGGGGAAAAGCTAGAGAGGACACGTCTCCTCCCCACCTCTTTCGGGGTGTTCCCAAAGCTGGGGTTCATTCCTTTTTCTTCTGAAGGACAGTGAGGTCCAGATCTGTATGCACTCCTTACAAGAGAAACGCCAGCAACACGGTGGGGGCACCCCTTAGTCCAGGTCACCCCACTGTGCTGCCCTGGGGCTGCCCAGCCCTGGCACAGGTGCTCCAGCCCCCGCTCCAACCTGGGCACAGAGCAGTCCCAGCAACACTTCAGCAGAGCCATCACCAAACATCTTGTCTTAGGGGACGTCTGTCAGAGGTAGAACACCCCCACACAGATCACAGCCAGTTGCTGCATCACTTGTGCTCTGACTCGGGGTGAGTTACTCAGGAGAAACAGGCAGGACTCACCCGACAGCAACAGGCAGCAAGGTCCAGCACCCGCCGAGGGCATCCGCTGACCATCCTGCAGAAAGCAGCGACATCCAGGCCATAGTCCTGAGGGAAGGAGAGGGCGCGGGGCAGCAGCCAGCCTGGCAGGAGGGATGGGGCTTCCCCAGGAAAAGGGGGAACACAGGCTCCTCTCCTGCTCAACGTGTGTCCCACCTACTCCTCACTTACAGAGATGGGCCTTGTCTGGGTTTTACACTCCTCTAAGCTGGAATGCCATTCCTTCACCTCCCAGCCACCAGGATAAAAGGCAGGAGGGAGTATCTGGATGATCTTTTAGGTCCCCTGCCACCTAAGCCTATGCCACCTATGATTCTACATTCATGGACTGAAGCTTTTAGGGTCTCAATCACAGCTGTCTCCCTGATGGCACAAGGGAACCATCAGCTCTGCCAGGAGGGCACAGGTCATCACTAAAAGAACAGGGAGACGTAGCAACACCTTTCTGCTTGCTCTGTGCTCTCCTGCAGAGCAACGCACCCTCCAGAAAGAGCGCAGCAACAAGCAGCACAAAGCAGAACCAACATGTGGAGGACCATCCAGGCTTCCAACAGCTGCTGAGAGCCACCGGATTCACCAGCTGTTCCCATAGCACCGTGGAGCCTTTACTCTGCATGGAAAGCAGCAATCTGCTCTTTTCTCACTGGATTTTTCACTCTTGTTGTGGAAAACGCTTCCCTATCTCACTTTGCAGGAGGGAAATGTTGTAAATATTGAAATAAAAAGGCCACATTTCTAGAGAAGCCAACTGTCTTCAAATAACCTGTGAATTAGCCTCAATGAATCTGAAAATATACTAGGGCTGATCTGAAAGTACTGCTTCATGTTCTATGATGCTGGCCCACAACACCAGAAACAGACGTCAGTGGGATGGCAGCAGAGGCCAAACCTTCCCATCAACATCCCGTTGTGTTGTTGCTGTGTGACAGAATGGTGCATGACATGGGAGTGTGTATGGAGCAAACATGTGGAATTGAATTCCTCCGTGCAGAAAAAATGCCAGTGAGTGCCATTCATTGATGCTTGTGAACACTGATGGAGACCAAAGAGGGGATGTGAGCACAGCGAGGGGTGGTGGTGCATTTCAGCAGTGGTGACAGCAGCAGTGGTCACCTCTGCTGGTGTGGGTTTGTACAGCACAGTATGCACCTCTTGTTCATCATTGGCAAAAATGCAGAGCTATTGGTGCTGCTATGTTGAAAAACAGTGTTTCGCAGCTGAGAATTTGCTCCATCAAACAGTGTTACTCTGTTCACTGGATGTTTAACTTTCCATGGAAACAAACAGGAGGCATTACTTTCAGATCAACCTACATACTCCTGTGATGATGGTTGTGTTTCATCTGCCGCTTCAACGTAGATATTGAAATGCCAATGCCAAATGGAGCATTGGAATTAAGACCTGTAAACAAAAGAGTCACTTCTCATTTTGTTGGTGCAACCAAAGTTTTGATAAGCAGATGATTCCATTTGTGTACTGAAAATTTTGTCATCAGATTTTCCCACAATTAAAACTCTGGAGTGACACCTCAGTACGCACACATATATGCGTGCAAGTCTGCATGGCCCAGAGAGAAGCTGCAGTCCAGAATCATGGAGCAACATGAACAAACAACAAAACAAAACAAAAGGAACAAAAAAGGAACAAAAGAAATGAACCCCAATACTGTTAAATTTGGGAATTATTACCTGAGTTCTGGGAAGTACTTCAGGATCTGCTGGGATCCTGCCCAGGATTTCACAGAGCACAATGCCAAAGGAAAACACATCCACCTGCAAGAAGGGTGGAAGAGGTGGGCTCAGGGCTGCATAGAAGGCAAACTGCAGGAAAGAGGAGCACCAACAGCAGCACGCTCCTCCATTAGGGGATGCCTGCCATCTCATGCAGGAGCTCTGCTGATGAGCCAGGAGCTGGCAGTGGTGCCATACCTTCCTGTCGTAGGGCTCTCCCCGCAGCATCTCAGGAGCCATCCAGAAGGCAGAGCCCACCAGGGACAGCTTCCTCTCTGCATACTGCACAGGCAGCTCCACCACTTCTCTGGCCAGCCCAAAGTCTGCCACCAGCGCCTCGCGGCCACGCGGTGTCACTCGGATGAGGCAGTTCTGAAAGGAGACCACAGGGATGTGGCATGGGCTGTGGCAAGGAAGGGGCCAGCTGCTACAGAGCCCTGTGCACACAGGCTGCAACCTGAGTGTGCAGCTGATCACATCCGGAGCCAGAAGTAATGGGAAGGAGCCGTTCCTCAGCCCACCTCCATCAGTTCACTGCCCACCCCGTGCTCTCACAGTGCGGTCTGCCTGCCGCCACACGGCCCTCAGCGCTGCCCCATCCTGACATCTCTGCACTGAGATTCCCAAAGGCACTCAATATGGACACGGTGATCCACATCCTTTCATCTGAAAGAGACCTAGAAACATGCACATCAGCTTTGCTCAGTCAGCCCAAGGCAGGCAAATCACAGCCACGGCCCTCCTCACTGTGCAGAGCTGTACATCCCTAATAATGGCTTCTGAAGGAATTTCTACAAAATCATCTTGAGGTTTCTCAAAAACCCCAGTGACTTTAACCTATTCAGATCCCTAGATTTTACTCCTTGGCACCTGCTCCCAGGGAGCCAGCAGAAACTGCAAACAGAAAATGGCTCCAATTGGAAGGGCCCCCACAGCCCCGAGCCCCAGTTCTGCCATGGGCTGGCTGCCCCCCAGCTCAGATTGCCCAGGGCCCATCCGCGGCCTTGGGCACCTCCACAGCTCTGGGCAGTAATGCCGGGACCTCACCGCCCTCTGGGTAAAGGATTTCCCCCACATCTAACCTAAATCTTGCCTCTTTTAGCTTAAAGCCATTCTCCCTCGTCCTATCGCTGTCTGCCTGTGTAAAAAGCCCAGATGGCTCCAGTTCTCACTAACAGCCAGACACCAGGTAAAGGCTTCCATCTTTTCAGCCAGCCTCCCACCAGGTTTCCCAGGTTTCCCCAGAGAAGCACAAACTTCTTCCAGGGCTGCACCTCCGCAGTGAGACTGAAAGGTGAGGTGCAACCTGCCAGCACTCCTTGCCTTCCACAAGTAGGAACAGAGGACCCACAACCTGAGGTCTCCAGGTCACTGCCCTACACAGCCTCTGCAGGGTCCCCTAACGCAGCTCCCCTCCAGCTGTGTACCTTGGAGTTGAGATCTCGGTGGTAGATGTTCTTGGAGTGCAGGTAGATCATGCCCCTGGTGATGTCAGAAGCTAAGTCCACCTTCTCCTTCCATGACAAAGCAACGTCTTTGCTGGCCAGGAGCTCCTCCAGGCAGCCCCCATTCACATACTGTGAAGAGACAAAAGGCAGCACCTGTGCAGCTGGATGCAGGGTCTCCTGGAGCCCCCCACGTGTAGGAACAAAATAAGGCCTCCCAGTGCTAGCCCAGGCTTTCCCATTCAGCCACAACACTGTGTCAGAGCCACCTCAAAGGTACTGCCAGGCTGCATCCCAATATGCCTACTCTTAAAATCCTGCTCCTCTGCTCCCCCACGCTGGCCTGTCCTGGTCCTCTGGTGGTACTGGGCCACCACGAAACCCCTCATGGCCACTCTGCCTGAACCTCACAGCACCTGTGCCCAGCTCCAGCCATGAGAGGCTGTGGGGCAGAGCAGACCAGAAGCCTCCCCAAGGCAGTCTGCTCATCCAGTCACTCACAGCTCCTCGCCTGCCCAAAGCACAATTAAAGGCAATAAACTTTTACCTCCAGAATGGGGTACAGCTTGTCATCCTTTACGCATATCCCAAGGTACCTAAGCAGAAGGATGCACCAAAACAAAGAAAACAAGCCATCAAGGTTCCATTTGATCCCTCCCCACAGAACTGCCACAGAGACACTGAGGCAGCCCCAGCCCCCACCAGTGCCCCTGCCCACGGCCAGACGTCTTGCCTACCTGACGATGTTGGGGTGGGAGAGCTTCTGCAGCAGGCTGATCTCACGCACTATCACCTCCTGGTCCACATCATTCTTGTAGATCTTCACCACCATCACTTTACAAGCAGCAGCAGCCTGGGTCACCTGGAGCCAAGGGTGGAGCAGGACACATGTCAAACTCCACGTGTCTGCCAGCCCCTCCAAACAGCTGCACCCCTTCCCAGCCAAAGCCCTGGCTCCTGTTTCCCTGCTGCCCAGAGCTTTGGACAGCCACCAGCACAAGGGCAAGGTACTGTCCTTCCCACACCAGTTCCACTTTGTGACACCTGACATGGTGACTGGGGACAGCCAGCGCCCTCCTGCCTCAGCACACCAGGACACTCAGCCAAAATTTAAGTCACTTTGGCTGGAGCAGTTTCTCAGCCCACACTGAGTTACAGAAGAGCTGACCTTCTCCCTTCCCCTTACTTCAGTGCCTCATCTGTCCATCTGCCCCTCTCCCTCCTGCTGGATCTCATCACTGCTGCTCACACCACACGTCCCCACTGCCGCCTGAGCCTACGTTTCACTTTCATTTAGAGCTTTGGGGTTTTTTTTGTTTATTTTGATAGTGAAATAGCCCAAACACAGCCTGAGGTGGCTTCAGAACAGCAGTCTGAATCCCACAGCATCACCCACTGCTCTCTTTATGGCTGCTTTATGGCTAAGGTAACCAGCGGAGGTGAGGAGAACACAGAGATGCATGTTAAGACCTCACTGAGCTGAAAGGAGAGAAAGGTTCGTTACCACCAGGACCACAAAACAAATCATCTTGGAAGTAACACAAGTTGCCTCCTCCTTCCTGATGGAACACAGCCTGGCAGCAGTCTGCAGAGGCCGAAAAGAGAGTAAGGCTCTGACAGCATCCCCTGATGGGACACTGTAACCACACCGACTTGCTGCTCGGGTGTCATCAATTATTAGTCACAACCACACAGCTGTAAGTACAAAAGATGCAATGGATCACAGCCAAAGTTCAGCCCTCAAGGTCTCACACAATGTGCCTTGCAAAGCCATTTTTCCTTTTTCCAAACTGGAAGCCCAGCCCAAGTCACTGGGAATCAGACTTCAGGTGACACCAGCCTCTTGCAGAGACCTCTTCCAAGCACACGGCCAGCGTTTAGTTCCTGCCAACTCAGAGTATTCCTCAGCCTGCCCCAAACAGCAGCCACACAGCACACTGTTCCCCAAGCAGAAGGCCATGCAGGACCTCTCGGCCTGAACCCTGTGCACAAGTGAGTCTGTGCACAGCCAGTCTGCACACCAGGGACCTCAAGCGCAGGCTGAACCAGAGGACAAGGGCAGCACAAGCAGCACACAGCCCCTCTGTGCCAGCACCACGGGCCAGGAGCTGGTGACCATAGGAGGGAGCACTTTGGAAAACAGCAGCTGTGGGCAGAGGGCTCTGCAGCCATCCATCCCTGTGGTGCTTCCCAGCAGCAGCGCTGCTGCTCAGGGCTGAGACTGCCTGACCCCAGAGGAACGCCAGTAACCAGAGCATCCAGCTCGAGTTCCCAGCAAATGTCAAGTCGCAACAAAGGCCTTGCCTTGTTCCAAGTCCTCCTCCACTGTCTTCTATGTGAGCCGCAACATTTCACTCCTGCTTTATTTTTTGACATTTCCTTTTCACCTTCTATTGTGGAAAGTCATTGCATTTGCACTCAAAACCCATATCTCCAGCTGCAGCTTACCCAGCTTGGCTCCACTGGGTCCACACCACAGCCCAGCAAACAAGCTCAGTGCCAGCAGCCACACGGAGGAGGAGGATGATGTGGGCAGACCTGGTAGCACTGTACCCTCTGAAACGCTGCCTCAGTTGCCAGGTCTTCCCTTCTTTCTGTTGCTCAAAGAAATGGCTGAGGGTTGCAGGGAAGGAGCTCCCCACCCCCACCCGAAAGCGAGCAGTGGGGCGATGCTACAGCACTCATGGGCTGAGGAGCACTGGAGAGGGGCAAAGCGAGAGGGACACTGGTTCTGTGCTTCCTGAGAGAGGGTTAAAAACACCCTCCGAGTAAAGGATCTCCAGCTCACATCTCACCTCAGTCGCCCCCTTCTAGCTCAAAGCCACACCCCCGTTCTGCCGCTATCACACCACGTACAGTCGCTCTTCCCCATTTCCGAGTTCAGCCTCACGGTTCGGGTCGGCCCCAGCGCTCTCACCTTGTACACCTTGGAGAAGAAGCCGCTCCCGACCAGCTCGGCGCTGAAGCTTTCCCAGAACTCCAGCCTCCGGACGGCGGTGCGCAGCCTCTGCCAGCGGTCCATACGGCAGCAGGTGTCCGACGACTCGCCGTAGCGCCGCGCCGCCTCGCGGGGCTCCGGTGCCAGCAGCCCCGCCTCGCACATCGCGGGGCGGCAGCCGAAACGCAGCGCGTTCTGCAGGGAGCCGACAGCAACACGTTGCGCTCCGACCCAGCGCCTGCACCGGGAAACAGAGCTGGACGAAGCCGGAACAACACGGGGAGAGCAGACGTGCCGTGCTGCCCGCGTGCGCTACCTCTGTGGTGAGGCGCCCTGCGTCATGTGGGTTGCGTTCGTACTCCTTCAGATGAGAATGTAAAGATGTCACATTAATGTACGTTCACTTCTACCTTCTAGGACAGGCAGGATGCATTGCCTTCACCGCCTGACAGTGCAGCCCGAGGAAAACCTGGGGAACGCTGCTCGACCTGACCGGCTCACACTGGGCTACAAGCCGCCGTGTCAGAACTGCTCCTAACACAGCTCATGTGGCACTGACCAACGCCACATTCCTTACTGCAGGCCTCCAGACAAGCCTTCTGAGGGTGCCAATGCAAAATGTGCCATCTTAAAAGGGTCCTCGCTCAGCAGGTCCCCTCTGTTCAACAGAAGCCCTGAAGAATGACGTATGGGGGAAATGCCCCAGCAACTCCCTGCCTCTCTATGTATCCCAAATCTGTGTCTAACTCCCTCTATTAAATTGTCTCGCTTCTTCACTAATACTTTTCTCGACAGCCCTCTCCCCCCAGGCTCTTTCTGCCTTTGTTAGGACCGTGTTCAGAACCCTCCAAAGCAATGCCACCCCTACTTCCCCACTGCATCACTTTCTCCCCAGATGCAGAGAAGGCGAATCCAGGAAAAGTGGAAAATGGGCTTCTGACACTAATGTCTAAGCCAGCACTACTTCCGGGTGCTTTGCAAGCCACTGGTGCTTAACAGAGCCGTTTGAGCATTTTCCCCTCTCAGCACATGCTCAGACCATAACCAAAGGAGACAACAGTCGGCAGAAGGATGCTCCAAAGCTTCCAGCTGAAGCCAAGGAAGCTCTGTCCTCCCCGAGCTCCTGTCCCAGGTCTTGCACCACAACACTTGCACCAACCTCCCCACCCTCCCACAGCCCTGCAACTGAGATGCAGGGAGAGTTGCCAAGGCAGCACGGGGGCAGAAACTCACCCTCCGTGCCTGCAGGGCACCCGCACAGGCATGCACAGCTCCTCTCCAGTCAAGCAGGCTGAGGGGAGCTGCCCCTGCAACGGGAATGGCTTCCTTCCCACTGTCCCCTCTGTTCCCTGCTTTTCCCACGTATCTCCTCCTGCTGTGACCCAGTTCATCAATTGTCCCTTTGTCCACAGAAGAATCCCCACAACGCCCTCGGCACGCTGGGATGCCCTGAATGTTATGCCAACGAGTGGGAGCCAAGTCTTTATTTTCTTCCCAGAAACGCGTTTGTCCCAGATGAGGGCTGACAAGTAGTAGGCTGGGGAAGAAAATGGCCTTCCAAAATGCGAAGGTTTATGTCATGGCTTCTTTGGAGCCAGGGGAGAGGGGACGTGGAGCACTGAGGTCTTTCTCAAGGACGGCCGGCTGCAGGCAGCAGGGCTGAGAGCATCCCCACAGGGTTTGGAGCACCTGAAGCCATGTGCTTGGCTGAGTGGGCACTACATGGGCACAGCTGCTTGTATTTTGAAAAGCAAACCTGAGGCACAGCCCTCCTCTGGGATTTCTCCATCTACAGGTGCTGGGACACCCGAGCATCCTAACAGACCCAGGCTGTCCTGCAAGAGTGCAAAACCCCAGGCTGCAAATCCCCCTTCCAGACACGTGGTCAGGGAGGAGCTCCATGCAAAGACAGCCTGCAGAGGATGCTACAGGGTGCTCCCCTCCTCCACAGAGCAATCATGAAATCATAGAACAGCTCAGTTGGAAAGGACTTAAAAAACCATCCGATTCCAACCCCCTGCTGTGGGCTGGGTGCCCCCTACTATCAGGCTGCCTGGAGCCACATGTGTGGCCTTGGGCACCTCCAAGGACCACCAATCCCCAGCTCAGACACATCCACACACACCGAACCAAGTCCCACTTTAAGTGGTTTCCATAAAACCACTCAGGTCCAAACACATTGAGATTTTGGGGCAGTCTGGCCTCCAGCAAGGTTAAGGTTTCAGGCACAATTTCAGTGTTATTTCATGGAGAGTTTGGCAAGTTTCAGCAGAGATTCACCAAACCACCTATGGGGGTCCCTGTGTGGACAACTCCCAGCAGCACTTCCCATGCTGACAAAGTGCCAAACCGCTGTCTGTCTGATGGGAAACCTGCGGGGGGTTTGAAGGAAGAGAAACGTGACAAAAATCAAAGGAAAACACTCCCCAAGACAGTCAGCAGCAAAGGCTTTGATTGAGCTCGCTTTGCAAAATGGTGACTGATGAGGCGCACAGATCCCTTTGAAACAGAAATGGTGCAGAAGAAGAAAAAACGCCATAACAGCTCGGCAGTCACAAGGCCAATTCCACATCACTCTCTCTAAAAACACCGAACAGGACCACCACCAAACACCCTGCCCCATCTGGGGAATGTTTAGGGGGTACAAACAGGGCTCTGCACTCTGGAAGTCAGGTGGGGAGTGACTCAATTTTAAAGGTGGAAAGCTGTCAGCAAAGGGCTTGGTGACAAAATCTGCTTCGGAGAGGACCTGAGCCCCGTGCTCCACAGAGATGGGGGAACAGGACAGGTGAAGCAGACAGCTCACATGGTCCCACCTCACCGACTGCTTCATCTCCTCTGCTGGGGGGTGATGGAAGAAGGGCCCCACGGGGCCAACACAGCTGCTGGCTGCACTGGGGACAGGGGCAGATGGAAAGGACTGCAGAACCCTGCTCTTTGGAGGCTGTTCCTGGGAAAATTCTGACCGTGATAAGCCAAGTTAAAGCTTTCAAGGTCTTCGAAACCTGTGGGTGGGCAGATATTGTTTATCACTGTGACTGTTCTCCTCCAGGAGATCATTTATTCATTACTCATTTGTTCCTCACAGCACTGCACTCCCCAGTGCCTGACAAAGGGCTCTCTGCTGACATTAGCCCAAAGCCCTGTTTGCATCAGGATGGGCAGGAAGGAAAGACAGCTTTGCATGACACATCACTGTCCTGTTTCTGTAGGAAAGCCACACAGTAGCACTGTACAGCTGAGATGGATGTGGAAAGCAGGGTGCTGGTGCCTGCAGGGCCACTCTAGAACCAGGTATGTTTGCATCAGGGCAAAAGCATCTGCCAGACCTCATCTCTGACTCCAGATGGCCTTTCGGCCCCACATCAACCTAGAAATTATGATTTCCCATTGCCTTTAGGATGCAGCAATGCAGGGTGCAACATGCTACATCCTCCAGCGACAGGACAAGAGGCGATGGCTTCAAATTGTGCCAGTGTGGTTCACATCAGATACTAGGAAACATTTATTCTCCAGAATAGTGGTCAGGCACTGGCACAGGCTGCCCAGGGAGCGGTGGAGTCACCATTCCTGGAGGTGTTCCAGGACTGAGGAGACGTGGCATTTGGGAACATGGTTAGTGGGCAGGATTGGTGGCAGTGGGTTGGACTGGGTGATCTTAGAAGTCTTTGCCAACCTTAATGATCTATGCCTTTGCTTTCAAGAGCCTACAGCAACAAGCAATCCATTGGATCTGGTCAAAACCAAGGGATATCAAGCAGCCTTGTCATGTGCCCCACTGACCCCAATGCCCTTCCCTGCTCAGCAATGATCAAGCTCTGCAAAACCTAAAGCAAAAACAACGCACCTGTTCTGTGAAGATCATTCACCCTGTTCCCTTCCCAGACCGCTTCTCCTCTCTCCACATTTGCAGCTGTTAAAGGAGGAAAAAAAAAAAAAAAAAAAAGGCCATAGGTCTACAGGGAGGAGGCAGAAAGCTGTGTCTGCCCACACGGAGCCCAGCAGCAGGCACACAGCACAGCAGGCGACTGAATGTTAAAACCCATTTCAGCACTGCCAGGGGAACTGGACTCACATTTCCTGACCCTGCCTCCAGTACAGGATGCACGTGCCACCCTGAGGCAGCAGCTCCAGTGCAAGGGATAAGCCTGATCCACCATGAGAGGAAGGGCAAAGCTCCCCCGGGGTGAAGCACGCCAAAATGCATCTGCTCCCTGCCCCTGCACTTCATCTGCCTCTAATTAGGGTCCCTAAATGTGCCAAACTTGTTCCCCCCAGCATATTTTCCACTCTCCAGACCACAAAAGACCCCGGTAAAAATCCAGCAGATAAAGCTGAGATCCAGTTAAACATCACAAACGTTATTTTTCCAAGCAGCAGCGTTAAAGAAGGCAGGTACCCCTGCTAGGGAACCCAATCACTCTTGACTCGACTGAACCAGTTTATCCATCCATAAACAAGTAGTATTTGCTCTGCAACACGAGTACATTTTTTGAGACAAGAAAGCTGCTTTCCCAGGCTCTGCATGCAGCAGCAGAGGCAGCAAACACCAGGAGCACTGACCCATCACAGAGGACCAAGGAAACTCAACGAGAGAAAAGACTTGTACCTGAGATGACCATTTTTGTAGCAGCATAGTGAAGTAGACTGAATCCTCAGGCAATGCCGGCTCTGCACAGATGTGTGCTCCAGCCTTTCTAGCCCTTGATTGCAAAGACCTTACTATTGCTAAGAGATGGGAAAACGGAAGGCAAATCGTCCCATGCAGTCTCACAGCACACAGACTCTTTCCAAACTCACCCACTCATCACAGCAGAGCGACACAAGTCGGAGCTGCCGGTGCGGTCGGCACCACGGGGCAGTGCCGGCAGTGCCATGGCTCGCTCGGTGCCCCGAAGTCTCCATCCGCCACCCGCGGCCCTCCGAGCCACCATCGGACGGGGCAGGAGCCACAGAGCTGCTGCCCCAGAAAACCCGAACCCCACGGCCTTCCTCTGTACCAGCTTTCTTCCCCCAGCCTTCCAAACTGCCCACGGCCTGCCTTTAAATTAAAACCCCATGCACTATCAAAGACGTCGCTCTGCACGGAGGGGCTGCAGACGGGGAACGGCAGCCCAGCCCAGCTCCGCCGGGGCCACGCACAAAGCGGGCTCTCGAGCCCAGCATCAGCTCTGCCCCCTCCCGACGCCGCCAGCCGGCAAGGTGTCACTAACCGGCGGCCGCCCGCAGCCGTGTGACGGCCGGCACTCACCCGCTCGCCCCGCAGCTCCTCCGCACCCGCTCCCTCGGGCCGAGCAGCCCGCGGCCCCGCCCCGCCCCGCCCCGCGCACAGCCGGCTGCGGCTCCTCCCTCCGTGCCCCCCGGAGCTGGAGGCCGTTCCCCCCGCACCGCGCCGGGGCTGCGGGTCATCCCGGGGCGAGGTGCGGAAACGCTGACGGACTCACAAGGACGCCGTTGTCGGACCCCACCGGTACTCGGAGACTGACCGGGACGGCCCAGCACTTGCGCGAAGCCAGAGCCCGGGGAACCCCAACCTGAGAAGAGCGCTTTCTCTTCCTGTCTCTGGCAGCAGCTCACATCCCCTCCGCCGGCTCTGCCTCCCGTCCCAGCCCCGGCCCGGCCCCCCAAGGATCCAGCTCTCCACGGACCCGCAGGGCATCAGCAGGGCAGCCCCCCTCCTTGTGCAGTGGGCGCTGCAAACCCCGCGGCCGGAGCACCCAGCAGCCGTTGGGGTTTTCCGCCGAGGGCAGACTGACCGAATCTGGGTCACACGCCAGATGGAGGCAGCTGGGACAGGGGACACAGCTGTGGCAATGGGGGCAGGTAGTGGCACGTGGACACGTGCAAAGGAACATCTCACCACTGCCAATGTCAAGGGAGCACTGCCCAGCTCTCCCCAGAGCCCAGCCACATCTTGCAGCCCCTTCTATCCCTATAAAATGATCCTTAACAAGGGGAACAGCAGAAGTCCCCTTCCTGCAGGATGCTGAGCAGCTGTCCAGGGGTCATATAGCCATGTGATTCTGCAGAACACACCACCAAAAACTGCTGCTGAGCAAAGGACGGCATTTACACGTAACTGGTAATTAAGACTCTTGAAGGCTTCTAGATATCTGATCTGAAGAGGGTTTAAAGCCTATTTACTGCTGTCTTGCAAACATGGTTGCTAAGCAGCAGCTGTAAGTAACGTCTCCAGCAGCGTGCCTCTGCTGCAGCACCAAGCAGAGGGCAGCCAGCTCTGCCATCACAGAAGAGAGTCAGAGGCAGCAGGAAAAGCAGAGCTGCCCAGTGTGACCATGCTTAGCCAAACCACACTACAGCTTCAGGCTACACTGTTCCTACCAATCAGGGACATTTGGGGTACATCATCCTTGCAGCCAGCAGCAGAAATGCAAGGGATGCAAAGAGTAACAAGAAGGGATTCTGTAGGTACATTAGTCAAAAAATTAAAGACAAAGACAGTGCATCCCTTCTGATAAAGAAGAAAGGGAAAATGGCCAGTGAGCAAAACAAGCAAAATGAGCAGTGTTCCCCAGGGGGTCCGTTTTGGGACCAGAACTCTTGAACATCTTCATCAGTGACTTAGATGATGGGATTGAGTGCACCCTCAGCAAGTCTGCAGACAGCACCAAGGTGAGTGATGCAGCTGATACAACAGAAGGAAGGGATGCCATCCAGAGGGACCTGGGCAGGCACAAAAGGTTGGCACATGTAAACCTAATGAGCATCAACAAGGCCAAGTGTGAGGTGCTGCATTGGGTTGGGGCAATGCCAGGCATTTATACAAACTGGGGGAAGATCCTGAGAGCAGCCGTGCAGAGAAGGACGTGGGGGTCCTGGTGGGCACAGAGCTGCACACGAGCAGCAGTGTGCGCCCGCAGCCCGGGAGGCCAGCAGCACCCTGGGCTGCACCAACAGAGGGCTGGCAGCGGGCAGGGAGGGGATTGTCCCCCTCTGCTCTGCCCTCGTGAGGCCCCATCTGCAGTACTGCGTCCAGGCCTGGGGCCCCCGGCGCAGGAAAGACGTGGGGCTGCTGGAGCGGGTCCAGAGGAGGCCACGAGGACACTCAGAGGGCTGCAGCACCTCTGCTGCAAAGACAGGCTGAGGAGCTGGGGGTGCTCAGCCTGGAGGAGAGCAGGCTGCGGGGAGACCTTCTAGAAGTTGAAGGGAGCTTATAAGCAGAAGGGAAACCAATTTGTAATGTGCAGCTGGTGATAGGACAAGGGGGAATGGCTTTAAATGAAAAGAGGGGAAATTTAGGTTAGATGTTAGAAATTCTTTATTCAGAAAGTGGTGAGGTACCAAAACAGGTTGCCCAAAGAAGTTGTGGGTGTCCCAACTCTGGAGGTACCCAAGGCCATGGATGGGGCCCTGGGCAGCCTGAGCTTGGGAGGGCAGCCAGCCCACGGCAGGGATGGGCATGGATGATCTTTAAGGTCCCTTTCAATCTGAGCCATTCTATGATCTTATAATACTTTGGAGGTAAATCCCAGGCACATCCCTTCCCATTGCACTACAGGCTCCAGGTACTACAGGTACTACAGGCTACAGGCCTGCCTTGCTGCCCAGCCAGCACCGTGCTCTCACCATCTCACCTCCTACCTGCTCCTTCCAGACTGCCCATCAAGAGCAAATTACTCAGTGCTGGGGTAAAAGGAAAACTGCAGCTCTTTCTCCCTCTTTTGCTTTCCTGAGCACACAAACATGCCTTCACGGGCTGCATATTATTTTTATGCAGCAGCTCATGGCCACCTACACTTCGCTGTCCTTCCTCAAATTCACCCATGAGCATGCACCACTTTCCCTGCCCTGTGCAAAATGCAGCACTGAGAGCAGCCCTGTCAGCAGCTGTCAGCTTGTACAGCTTGCAGGGAAGCTGTGAATTATCCAGTGATTGTTGGCAGGTGTCAGATTAGAGAGGCAGTGCTCAAGTCCAGTCCAGCTGAACAAGCAGCCGGATCGCTATGTGGCTCCAACGTCTGCATCGCGAAAGCAGATGAGCACTGCACAGGCTGGAAATGACACTTCCATGAGTACAATGTGCCAGCAGCATACCTCACAGCACTTCTTGATGCCCAAGAAGAACCTGCACTGCCAAACAGAAAGACACAAGACCCAAATGAATTGCCACTTACGTTTCCCCTAGCAAGAATCTCCTTCCCTTGTCCAGGTGCTTTCATCGTCTAGCAGAGCTTTAAGTAACGGATCATCTCTCCGAGGCTCCATGGTATGCCCACAGCTCCTCGTGCCCACCAGCCATGGCACAGCAGGGGTTCCAGCATGTCCGTGGCAGCAGTCAGGCAGCAGCTCTGCTTGAATTCCACCCCCACTGTCAATCGCTTTAGGATTATCAGGAATCCTGGAACATTTCCAAGGCTGCTCTATTCTGTGTGCATGCTGCCACTGATGTGATTAAACAAAGGTCAAAGGGTGTCCTGGAGGAGCTGAGAAGCCAGTTAAGCCTCAGCTGGTCTTTGATCTGACAGCCACCAAATGGTTGTGGGGACTTCCACACCAGCTGGCAGCCCCCAAGAAACTGCAAGGTGAGAGCTGCCTGTAGTCAGCACTGGAGATCTCTGCAGGTGCATGCCACATATGGCAGAACCATATGTGTGACAACAGAGACAAGATTTGGTCCCAGAGCAACAGCCTTAAAAGGAGCCTACAGAAGGTGCAAACTGCCCTGATGGAAAAGGTCCAATAATAGAAAATCCCTCTGGTGAGGTCTGACTTGAGGGCCCAGGTGTGTCTCATTGCATGGGAGAGCCACTGTGACCAGGGTAAGAACTCCTGGGAGACCCAGGCAAGCCTGTACACCAGGGCAACAGGGAGAGGGACTGGAGACGTCTAAGCACACGCAATTTTGAACCCAAACTCGAGGGAAG